GAGAAACAGTTGCAGTTTTGTTTAGTTCTATTCAGAAAGTAGATGGTTGTTCATTATTTTATATTATTTATTTAAAAAAATTAACATGGATAGTGACGAGGAACGCTTTTTTTTCTCGTGTGCGGTTGGCTGTTGGTAGGTGATTTAGAAAAAAAAAAAGAAAACGTCTTACACGCAGGTATACCTGCGTGCAATATATTGGGTGAGATCCTTATTAAATAGAAGGAAATATGATGGTGGTGCAAAGATGTTAATAAATTTACAAAAGGACGACATAGGGTTAAGTGGCGAATTACGTTCTTCTTATCAACTCAAGTTGATAACATACGTTTACACCAAGCCGACTGAGTTGCAAAAAACGTAGCAACTCTTTGAAGTTACCGACATCGATCGGGAAACGAAAAACACAACAGCAACTGTTGAGTTGCCGAAAAATCTTCAAAAAATCTGCAAAAAGTTGCGGTTTTGTTTTTTTCAACTCGAATTGCTGTTTTGTCGGTTTGGTGTAAAACCGGCATTATGTTCCCGGCAAACATTTGATTGGGCTCAATCCTAGGTCAATTTTATTGGGTCAATTTAATTCAAAAAAGATTGAGTAATTTTTGCACAATCATTGCGAATGAATTATTTGATTGCGTTATATTTGGCCAAACTTTGTCCAATTTGAGTTGCTCAAACATTGGCGATTGTTGCGGACGCACGTACGGCTGTTTATTGCATAATATAATTGACGATGCGAATGAGCCAATACCACTCAATAATAGACCAAACAGTTTGTTTCAAACTTAAGTTTGGTTAGGATGTTATTTACGTGTTTTATTTATAATTTATTTATGTATATTCTTTTAAAAAAAGTTGTTTAATTAATTCAATTAATTTCTTACGTACTTACGTAGGTATAATGAAACAACAGAAACACTTTATAAAGATTATAAATTGTATAGAATTCAAATTTCGCGCGTCTGTCGCCATTCGCGGGCTTCCGGGCAAAGCCTCCATATTCTTCGATTTGGTTATATGGGTTGTGTTTAAACTTTAAAGCTGGACAAGAGAAGTGCATCAAGTAAGTACGGTAAGTACCTAATTCAGTTTTTTATGTGTTTTTAATTATGTTTAATAAAGAATGTTATTACAATAGTGTTATTATTTCAAATACTCAACCAATCATTGTTCTTAAAATTCCTTAAACCATAAAAAAATTAATTCCCTCGTTTTACACAATTTTGATTTTTTTTTTAAATTGAGTCATTTAGGTAATTGAATTGTCAAATAATTAGCTAAATGTTCCACATTCGAATATTTAAAAATTAAATATCTAATTGCCTTAAAATTGCACATTTATTGGTGGTTTTGGTTGCTCAACAGTGTTGCCAGATATGACATGATTATCAAATTGTAATATTTTTTTTCTTAAAAGAAAAAATAAAATAGTTATCTGTACCATAATCGATCACATATAGTAACATAATTTATTCTCCCAGAATAACGTATTACGGTACAGTTGTAATAATTTTCTGAAAAATCCAATAATTTTGTAACTTTTCTCATCTGGCAACACTGTTACTCAACGAAATTGGGCAAAGTTTGATGGTAGTTGCGGACGCACGTATTTGCAATATTTGGCCAATCAAATTCAATCTGTTTAGTAAATCTTTGGCCAATTCTAACCCAAACATTGTTTGCCAAATGAAAATGGATTTGAATTCAAACTGGGATGGATACCAGGCCACAATGATATCAAGGGAAATGAAAAAGCAGACCAGCTGGCTAAAATTGGAATCAACCTTAATGTCCCTCTGGAATGCCAACCTGACATGTATGAAATGATGCCCAACTTAAAGAAACAAATAATAAAGGAATGGAATGAAAAATGGAAAAAAATATCAACATACAAAGGAAAATGGTACAATCAAATTGAAGAAAACTTTCCAATAAAACCATGGTTCCATACAAATAAGGTCAAAAACAGAAGACATCTAACAACAATCATACGTTTAAGGTCTGGACATTATTTAAAACTCATCTTCATAGAATAGGAATAGAGGATAACCCTATCTGTGAATGCGGAGAGGAAGAAAATTTACACCACATACTACTGGAATGTCCCATAAACAAAGTACCTGGAACAGACATCTACTTTGAACTGGCAAAAAATGACATTATCCTCCCTGCCAGCATACCTACAATATTGAAAAATGCAAACAAAAAGAACTTAAAAATTATACTTAACTACTTTGACACAAACAAAATCAAAATTTAATCATATATTTTTTTTAGATCCACACATAACTCATATCCTGGGATCCCCTTCCGAGGTAGCATCTTTGGGGTTGTCCAAGTCGCTTGGCCGCTGCCCCCAAGCGTGAAAAGTTTTTAACCTTTGTTGTGTTTTGTCCTATACTAACTTTAATTTAAAACAAACAAAAATACTCTACTCAAACAATAAGTTTACCACACATAAAGCCGAGTCTACAATTGTCGCAGGGGTCCGATCGCAGAACATAAGCTTGCGCAAAGCACCCCGCGACGTGGCGATGGAAGAAGTTTCTTTTGTCAGCTGGGTGCTTTGCGCAAGCTTATGTTCTGCGATCTGCGACCTGCGACAATTGTAGACCCGGCTTAAGACATTTAGAAGAACAAGCGACAAACAAATCTATAAAAGTCCAAAAATCAAGGGATGAGAAATCTCAGACACATTGGGTCCCTTGATTAAAATGTATTTTCAAGATATAATGAGCTGGCCAAATAGCTTTTAAATAAGCTAAAGGCCAACCCCCCTGAAGAAACGGAGACGTTTTTTCAGACCAAAGAAGAAGAAGAAGAAGTATATGGTAAAACAGAGCGCTCTAATGTCAAAGACAGAAATCTAACCTCAATGTTGTCATAACCTAAAACTATATTTGCAGGATTTTTTGATTTACTAATAGGAAAACATGTAATTATAAGCAATAATTTAATAAATTACTATAAATTATGTTTTATATATTATATTTTAGCAACAACATGTTAAAAACTGCCTTGGTTTTTGTGAGTAAAAGAAAGTTATCATTCTCAAAAGTGAAATACTTATCACCCACAGCAAATCCGCAGCCCCAGGAAAAAATACAGAGTTTCAGGAGCGTCGAACATGATCCCTTAAAACACACATACAACCATGTGGGTCAATTCTACAATATTTCCAAAGAGGATAGAAATCACCTATTTAACTATGGGGGTTTACCAAAAACTTACCTAACACAAGCAAAAACGTTCAACGAAACGTGCGTTATGATTAGACAACCCACAATAGACGTGATAGAATGCTTAAAAAATATCGATTACGCAAAGCCAGCAGTAAGATTTGTTATTTATGGGAAAAAAGGTAGCGGAAAATCGTTATCGATGGCACATATTTTGCATTATGCTAACAGGAGTAATTTCTTGGTTGTGCATGTTCCTTGGGTGGGCAACTGGATGCGTAGATGTCGGGAAGTGAGTAATTCTGATACTAAAGAAGGTTTTATTAATTTAAATGTCGATGCTGCGGCCTGGTTGTTGCATTTTAAGACACAGAATTCTCACTTACTGGAGAAGGAAGATTTGAAAATTGCGCAGGATTATGTGTGGAGTAAAAGAGAGAAAACCGAAAAAGGATCTCCGTTGTTGGACATCGTTAATCATGGTATTAACAGGATTAAGTTTGCCTCAGATTGTGTTGTTATTATAGCAGATGAAATCAAAAAACTTTCAAATAGTGGGGTTTGCAAAACGTTGGTCGCTATTGACGGGTTTAACGCGTTTTTCTACCCTAATACGAGAGTTTTTACAGAGAAAAAGGAAAAAGTACATCCTCACAAAGTTGTTATTACTGAAGCATTCTTGAACTTAACCAAAAACGACTGGAAAAATTCTGCAGTTATTGTAACAGTAGATGAAATTGCTGTAGCAGAGGAAGACCAAATTTCCCATATGCCAAGGTAAATTTTAGAAGTCCAAATAAATAAATTGTTTTAATGTAGTATCTCCATTTAAAGAGTTTCCAGAGAATGTCTTCAAAATATAATGTACATACAAAATACCTATATGATTTACAAAATCATATATATTACATTTTGAAGACACATTCACAAATACTTTTAGATTTCTTTACAGCACAGATTCCAAGAAAATAGTTTTTAAAGTTACATTTGTTTTAATAGGCCACAGTGTATTTTGTATCTCACCAGCTTGCTCATGAAATTTCCATAAAAAGAAAAACTAAATAATCAATTTGAATTTGGAAAAGAATTTTTATAATATTCTATGGAAAATAAGACTTCTACACAAGTGTTATTTTCCATGGATTCTATCAAAAACTCGTTTTTAAACTCCAAAGCAACAATGATTTGTTAAAAATTCATTATTACAGTATAATTTTTATGGAAATATCAAAAAACAATTTTTTAGCAACTTTTAAAATTGTCATTTAAAATTTCGTGCTGCCAACTTAAGAAACATAAAAATATGGCAGTTTTAAACCTTAATTTAGCCATTGTAACAACAAATTAACAATTTATATTGTTACCTCTTTACTTTTTATATTGTTTTTAGTTTTTAATAAAACTTTAATTTGTAATAAAGCATTAATTTGTTAATTAAAATACGTTTTATTTTTACTACATTGGCACCGCTGAATTTGCTATCACGGCCTACTGTTATTTATTTTTCGAACTCTTATAAAGGAGATTTTTTTTATATCTAAAAATTATACTGTTTACTAAATTACAATATTTTGATTTTTTAGGTATTTACTTGGAAAAGAGGGGTTTGAACACTTGGACCCTTTTGTACCAATCCCAATGGAAAATTACAACCAAAAAGAGTTTAAAAGTGTGATGGATTATTACAGAGATAGAAGATGGATAACCCCATATCCAGGTCAAGATGAGGAAGTGTCAGCTTTAAGTGCAAACAACCCTTATAATTTAATAAAAGTTTGTGCCCCCTTGTAAATAAATAAATAGTGCATTAATAAAACAATTTTATTTATTCAAAACATTTTTTACAAACTCAACAATTGTAGGAACTTCAGCCATAGCTCCAGCCCCTGTATCGCCACACATCAAAGTTTTTTCAATAACAGGAATCTCCAAATAACCCCACGACTTTAAATTATTTATTTGTATTGACGTCAAGGGGTGTAAATACATTTTGGTGTTCATTGCAGGGCAGAATATCAATGGCTTACTAACATCCCATGCCCTTGCAGTACAAGTCAACAAATTATCACACAAACCCTACAAGATAAGAATTATTTACTGAGTTGTAAATCAAATTTTATTCAATCTTACGCTTGATATTTTTCCCAATGTATTAGCATCTAGGGGCGCAATTAAAAACAAATCCGCCCATTTTGCCAACTCAATATGTAAAACAGGATCCCCCCTTCCCCCCCAAGCTGCCCATTCATCCTTATCATTGTAAATAGTGACACCAACATCAATATCGCTATCTTTGAAAAAATGCCTTGAATGCTCCGTAACAACTACTCTAACGTTAATTTTTGGTTCCTTTACTTGTAAAAATGACTCGACTAATGTAGGCAGCTTTATAGTAGCGACGCTACCCGTTACACCTATTAAAATATTAACCATTTTACTTTTCCTCGTTAAAACCTAATTTCGACCAGTCTTCTTTTGCCATTAAATTATTATCCATGCGGCAGCCCAAATATTCCCGCGTCTCTTCTCTGCACTGAGAATTATCGTTGTTATTACTATACAAACATTTCATATATTTTATCATGGACTTTTTGCATAAACCTTCGTGATCCAATGGGAAACTACCTTTATCTGGGGGCGTTGGGGTGAATGTTTTCTGGCCAAATGTCATAGACGACATAGAACACCGTTTAACAAGTCTATTTTGTGGAAAAATATAAAGAAAAGCAATAATATCCTTACTTTTTTTTACATTAAACAAATACCAACAAACAGAACTAAAATGTCCCTACACGCAATTTTAGTTTGTTTTCCTAGAAACTTAGGGTTGGTAGCATTTCTGTCACTAAATTTTGATTAACCGGGAAAGCCGTTGGTCTCTTTCCCGCTTACAAATTTACAAAATAAGTGAAAGATAACTTTATTAATTAACAAAAATTGTGTTTGTGTTTGTGTACGTTAATATAGGAAAATTTTATAAACCTGTTTCGTTTTTGATCGGTAAGTTGGTAAATAGTGGTAACCTTACTTTTTCCATGCTGAACTGTTGTCATTTATATTTTTAGCTGTTAAATCAAGTTTATTATGCCTCCAAAACGTAGAAGACAAAGTCAAACAGATGTTTCTGTAAGGGCGAAAAGAGTTAAATGTAAGTGAATAAATTTGTTATATTGATTTGTAAAATGTTTACTTTTAAACATGACCCAAGCCAAGTTACAATTAATTACCTACCTTATTTTTAAATAGTTTAAACTTTCAAGCAGTTTATTGTGAAAGATACGGTATAATAATATCAGTTAAGCCATAAGAAAATACAGTTTTTGAATAACATCATATTTTGTTTGGGAGCCTATAAAATAATTTCAAAAAAAAAAACTTTTTCTAATACCCTTGTCAAAAAGTCAGCTTTTTTGTTAATCTCCATTTGAAGAGTTTTGATAGAATGTCTTCAAAATTTTATATTGATTCCAAGAAAATAATTATTACATTTGTTTTCATGTGCCACTGTGTATTTTGTATTCCACGGCTCAAAGAATTTCCATAAAAAATAAACTATAATAATTATTTTTTAAGCTATCAACATTGTTATTGGCTTTGAAAATTGATTATTACAGTATATTTTTTATGGAGATCTTAAAAACAATTTTTTTAGCAATTTTTAAAATTGTAATTTCAAATTTCTTGCTGCCAACTTAAGAAACACAAAAATATGACAGTTTTAAACCTTAATTTTACAACATTAACATTAACAATTTATATTGTTACTTATTTAGGTACTTTTTATGTAGTTTTTAGTTTTTAATGACGGTTTAATTTGTAATAAAGTATTAATTTGTTAATTAAAATATATTTATTTTTACTACATTGGCATGCCCTCAGGCTTGCCTGAATTTGCTGTCACAGTATACTGATCATAGATACTGATATTTAACATTTAAGTGTCAAAAGTATGTCATTTTTTAGCAGTTTAAAAAGTATTTGTATTATTGTATTCAAGAAAATAATTAATTTAATTTTTAATGTTTATTTTGATACTAACATTTTAATTTATTCCCCGAGGTCATAAATAAATTTAAAAAGAGTTTTGAGATACATGTCAAAATAAAATATTTGTCAAAATTTTTTCTTTACATTTGTTGTAATTATTAATGGAATTATTATGGTATTCAAAAAAATAATGTATACACCTTAAATATAAAGCCACTTTTTTGCACAAAAAGGTTTTATAACTCAGCTTGTTATAAAAACTCCTCATGCAAAAAAGTGTTGCTTGTTGCAAAAATAACTATTTTCTACTTCTATTCCATATTAACATTATTTGTTTTTTTCGTATATAATGGTAACCATTATAACCATCAATCAATTAGATGGTTTTCTCTTGCATAACACCATTTTCAATAAACATTTTAATTTAAAATTGTTATTGCCTTATCTTAAAAATGTTAATTTGACAATTTTATTGGTTTAGAAAGATGTGTTTTTAATTCTAAAAAGACCAGAAATTTGTTGGGTCAAAATAAATTAAAAATGCAAAATTTGTAAAGATTAATTTTGACAAAACATTTAATATTCTTTCCACAATGGATTGTGATTCTTTCTATGTGTGACAGTGCTTGTTACACAAGGTGCTCAAAAAAGGTGAAAAGCAAAAAAAATACAAAATCCTTTGACAAGTAATGACAATTTTTTTTTATTATTCAAATTTAAAATTGTGTTTTAATTTGATTGGTTTGAGATTTTTAAAACAAACTAAAAACAAAATAAATTTAAAATGCAACATTTAAATAAATGTAATGTAATTTTTTGACATCAAAATAGTAATTTTTACAAAATAACAACTAAATACAAGGTGTTACGTAATTAATGTAATATATTAAAATATTGAATACTTTTTTTATATTTTTTGTGATACGCCACTGGTTACACACTTGTGTTCTGTTACATAAATTCATAAATACCAACCAACAAAATAGCTGCGCGTTGCCAGTTGTAAAAAATTGTTACTAACAATTTTTCTTGCAAAAAATAAATAAAAACTCAATAAATACAAAAGTGTTATGCCCTTCTGTATTTATTTACTTATCCAGCTTCTAGATTATGCAATGATTGGAAAATTTAGTAGGTACCTATTTTAAAAACTGCATAACCACAAAATTAATTTTTTCATCGGTTTTTTCCTTTCTGTTTACTCAGATGAAATTAGGACAAGTTCACAGGTTAAACTTTAAACGTTCAATTTGTGTAAATAAATCCAAAAGCACTTCCCTTAGTTAAGATATTTACAATTTGAGCACATAACCTAAAATTTTAAAGAAATGCACTAGATTCAATCTTAAAGTTGCCAGATTTTGTTTAAATTTACCTTCATTACAAAAATGACATAGGTATTCAAAAATTAATAAAAACTCCAAATTAACAATTTGCATTGTTGATTTGTCATTTTTGTAATTAAGCCAAATTTAAACAAAATTTGGCAACTTTTTTGACAGAATCTGGAAACGCTGGTTGTTACCAACCATAACATAATAAATTAAATTAGGCAACCAGATTAGCCTAAAGTTCCTAGTCGATCAGTGGCGTACTTTTTGGTAGGATAAAGGTTATTATAAATTATTTTTAGTCTTTATTTACCCATTTTAATATATTACATTAGTTACATAACACCTTGTAGAGATAATAAGATAATAGTTTGATGATTTTAACATTTTTACTTATACCTACTTGATTTAGTTACACTTGACAATGCTAGAATACCCGAAACCGATGTGGAAGGAGTGGTATTGGTTACCGGATCTGGGGACACAGGACAGTTGGGCTTGGGGCCTGACGTTATGGAAAAAACCAGACCTGCTCTGGTAAATTTGGAACAAGAAATTGTTGATATTTGTGCTGGCGGTATGCACACAGTGTGTTTGACTAAAGATGGAAAAGTAATGTTTTGTTGAAAGTTTTAGGATGATTTTTTTGTATAAAATTGTAATTTTAGGTTCTTACTTTTGGTTGCAACGATGAAGGAGCTCTCGGTAGAGTTACAGAAGGTAAAGATGATGCCGAATTTACGGCTGGGGAGGTAAAATTACCCGGTAGAGTTATGCAAGTGTCGGCCGGTGATTCCCATACGGCGGCTTTGATGGAAGATGGTAGAGTTTTCGCATGGGGAACTTTTCGTGTAAGTACCTAAATTTGTTTTTGAAATTTTATTTTTCTTCCATGAAAAATCACATTATAAATCATTTTTTATGTTTTAACATAATACAAAAATTATACTTAAAGAAAATAATAATTTTAATTTTTTTTTAAATAAAAAAAAATAATTTCCGTTAAAACAGAATATATGTTAGAAAAAAATCTTGGTCTTTTGGTTTGAAGATTGTACATTTTAGTACATTTTAGAATCTATAGTGGTATCACAACCTAAGAAACACCACTTGATATACAAGGTGTAAAAAATCAAATTTTTTCGTATTAACGTTTTATAGAAAAACCTCGAGTTTTCATCCTTTTACTTTACACTGTTAAAAATTTCTATTGTAATCAATAATAATCATCCTTTTACTTTACACTGTTAAAAATTTCTATTGTAATTTTACTAAACATGTTTATGAAGTTTTTACTTCCCATAATATAGTAATAAAATAAAGTTTTATAAATTCACTACATGATTCATTACAACTCAATTTAGGAAAATTACAAAACGTTTGTTGAAATTCACTAAGCATTTATTAAAAATTTGTTTAGTCCGGAACAGGATGATTTATATATATTTAATATTTTTTCGGGTGGTATGTTAAAAGTATTTTCCGATTTTATTAATTTTGTTTCCATTAGTTTTTTATGTTCTCTATCATGCACTGTATTTAAATCACTGTTATGTCCTGTGACGAAGAAATCACTATATTACTTACTCTCTAAAAATAAATTAGTCAAAAATGTCATAGCAAAAAAGCAGCCACTAATAATTCTCGTCAACAGCAATTTGTATCCAGGACATTTAGCGGTCAATTTCTATGAAATATTATTCGCTGAATCCGAAAATGTCGTCAAAAGTTATAAAAGTAGAAAAGTTTTTGAAATATAATTAATTTTACATATAATATGGAATTGACTATATCTCAAAAACTGCTTAACTTTTATAGTTTTTCGGATTCAGGGGACAATTTTACATAATAATTGTAAATTATGTAATAAATGTCCGGGATACAAATAGAGTATGATATTGGACATACATATGTCCAATAGTAGAAATATACATTTTTTACCAACCAGTAATTGGATACTGGCCATTTTACTGTTTGTTTTCAGAATTAAAATTAAAACGAATTAAAGTAACAATGTTTAAACCATGAGGAACACATTTATACCACACACTGATGTGTACACTTTTTAGAAATATTTTTTATTGTAATTTAAACACAGCCCTGCTCTTAACAAAAAAAAAAACAAAAATCTTAGCACCAAAGTAACGTGCGAACTTTTTTGTCCTATATGACCAAAAATAAAGTAGTTCTATATTATTACCGACTGAGATAGTTATAATTGTACACAGCGTCATCTAATGATTTGACTTTAAGGTAACTATTTATAGAACTCTTGTTTTTAGAGTGTTAATGTTAATTGTCCAATAACTACACTCACAGGCAAAATAATAATGGAGGATGACAGTGACAGTTTTGTTGAATCATTCCATACTTAGACATGTCATTTACAGCTTTCAAAAGCTATCAAATTGTTTTTTGTAAATTAATGTGTTAATTTTGAGGTGTCTTCTAACTATTAAAAATGTCTCTGACTGATGTTTCCCTTTGTACTTTACTTCTTGTGATGTTTAAAACGCTTGCCACGTAATACTGTGACCGTCCATCCTGGATTAAATTAATGGCTCTGGCAACATCAGTCGGGACATATCCATTTTTTAAAGTAAGAAGACACCTCAAAATTTAAACATTAATTTGCAAAAAAAAATTTGGTAGCTTTTGAAAGCCGTGTATGACATGTCCAATAGGGTGGGCCAAAAAAAATATTTTTCGAATTCAATTTAGGGGTACTACCAAAAAAAAGTTTCCTTATGCCAAAAGTAGTTTGTAAAAAAAAATTTAGCGTACTAGCCCAATATTTAAGGGTCCCCCTGGGGGCCCAAAATATTATTTTTTTATATTTTGTTTGGGGTGGCAACAAAAAGTTACATTATGTTGACAATAATTGTAGAAAAAAAATTAGCGTACTAGCCCAATATTTAAGGGTGCCCCGGGGGCCCAACATTTTTTTTTATATTTTAATTGGGGTAGCCACAAAAAGTTACCTTATGTTAACAATATGTTTACAAAAAAAATGTCCGATATTAGAATTTGGCGGTTTAGCAAATTCTAAGGTTAAAAATGTTTATAAATTTGAAAATGTTTTTTAAAATAAAAAAACTAAAAATATTTATAAGTCAAGCAGACGACTTCTATATAAGGTTCGGCAAGTTACCCTTTCAAACGCAAGCGGTGGAAAAGTGTGTGAAGCTTGTAACAGAAGCTGCATACCAGTCTATATGACAACAAGTTTCAATATTATTTAAATAATAAAAAAACTGGGTGGGAGGAAGCGGGTGGAACTCGAGGAGCAACTATCCAATTAATTAATAATAATAATAATAATAAAAATGCTTTATTGCGCAAAACACACAATTATTTACACAAAAGGCTGCGTTCGTAAGGACGTTCTTCCATACCACCTACTAAGAAATTAAATCTATTTTATTCTGCATATCACATATTAATTAAACCAAATCCTATAATTTCATACTATTTACTTAAGTTTTCAATATCACACATTATCAAAGTTACTAACAAGTTTTTGTATTCTAAATTAAACATGTTTGGAGTTTTACATATCACATATTATCACCAGTTAATAACAAATTTTTGTACTCTAAATTAAATGTGTTTGGATATTTAAATATTGTGTTAAAGAATGTTTTATCGTTCAAAAGACAGGTCTATAAACGAATCCTTAGATTTTGTAGTTTTAAGATTGTGTCTTAAATCAAGATTGTGTATATTGGATCTTTGAATAAAGTTGTTGAATAGGTATTCAGGCAATTATTTGGTATTTACTTTCTGAACTAATTTTCCAAAATTATGCTTGTAAGGATTTTAAAATTTTCCGACTAAATATATGAATCAAATACATTTATTTAGTTTATTAGTTTATTTTTAAATGTTTCAGTAAGTTATGAGTAGTAGACTGGCATGCAATAGTCTATAATAGGGTGTAGTCTATGATTAACTGACCAAGCATTTACTTCTTTTAAGACTTTATTTATTTCGTTAGTGGCTGTGTTAATTAATTTAAAGTAACGCAAAATCTTTTTTAAGCTTAATAAAATCAAGCTAAGAGTTGCTAATTTTTTTCATCAAAAAGGGGTAACTTTTTGTTGCCATCTCAATTAAAATATATATAAAAAAATTTGGGCCCCCAGGGCACCCTTAAATATTGGGCTAGAATGGCTATTTTTTCTAAACATACTGTTAACATAAGGTTACTTTTTGTGTTTACCCCAATTAAAATATGAACAAAAAATATATTTTGGGCCTCCGGGGCACCCTTAAATTTTGGGCTAGTACGCTCATTTTTTTTCTAGATTTACTGTTGATATAAGGTGGTTACCCCAATTAAAATATGAAAAAAAAAAGATTTTGGGTCTCCGGGGCACCCTTAAATATTGGGCTAGTACGCTCATTTTTTTTCTAGAATTACTGTTGACATAAGGTAACTTTTTGTTTCCACCCCAGTCAAAACATACAAAAAAAATATTTTGGGCCCTCGGGGGACCCTTAAATAATGGGCTAGTACGCTACATTTTTTTCTAATGAATTACTTTTAACATAAGGTAACTTTTTATTGCTACCCAAACATAAATATGTCAAATATTTTTTTTTTTTACGTTTTTCGGCCCACCCTAATCTCCAAGTATGGGATGATTCAACAAAACTGTCACTGTCATTCTCCATAGCATATGGATGGACCATAGCAACCTTAGTTCTTCATGCAGGAAAAATATTGGAAATTGCAATATTTTTTTAAAAATCCATATTTTCCACAAAAATAAATATATCGAGGTGAATTAAAAACAAAACTGTTAAGAATAGATGTGACTTGATAAATAAAACTTAATTTAGAACAATATACGGTTTTGCCACTCTACAGAGTGTCTTAAACTTATGGTAAAAACCATATTTTTGTTTAAACCTGTATATTATAAACGTACGTCTATTTTTTAGTAATTTTTTAAAATGTGAGCGGTTGTCCATTAATTTATCTACAATATTCTTTAATATTCGTTTAAATCCGACATCAAATAAAAAAGTTATTTGCGATTGAAATTCACCGAAAATTTGTGTGGATCGATTATTTTGCCTGTGAGTGTATAAAGTGTCTACTTCACCCTGTACCTGTAAGATACCATGCGTTTGCAGGACTCCCACGGCAGTATGGGCTTGACGTTGAACGGCAACGAAAAAATGCCGTACGAGATCCTGTCGAACGTGCACGTGGTGAAGATAGCGTCCGGCGCCGATCACATAGTTTTTCTGACGAACTCCGGGGAGGTGTACACCTGCGGCTGCGCGGAGCAGGGTCAGCTAGGCAGAACGTCCGAGAGGGGGAGCAGCAGGCATTCGCGCGGTTCCATCGGTAAGGGGGCTCTAGGTACGCACATGTTTTATGTTTTTATTCGTGGTTCTGGTGCTTGTAGAATGCAACTTGGGCAAAAAATCCTACTACTTTTATTTTATTTTTTACATTATTTCAGACAATATTGGTAAACGCAAAAGAAAATTCTATTGAATCCAACTATTATTATAATAGTCTGAAATAATGTAAAAAATAAAATATTGTCTGGGCCAAATGATTAATTAATATTTTTAATTGTTTTTAAACGAATTTCATTAATACATATATGTCTTGTTTTTTTGTTGGTATTTTTTCGAAAATTCGAATGGTGTAGGTATATTTTTTTGTCTGGTTATCTAATAATTTTCATAAATTTGTTTTGTTTGTTCATTGGCTGTATAAATGTAAATATTATACGCAATAACAAAAGCATGTTACATCATAAATTCCAACTAATATGTATTTGTCAAAGTGTTTGTTTTAAATACTTACCTTTTTTTTTGATGTTTCTAAACTGTAACTTTTTTTATTTAAAAAAATTCACTTTTTTCTATTGAAAAAAGGGTTACAATTTTTATATTTTTGTTGAGGCCTTTTGACTTTTCTTTTTGTTACATTTTCTTTTTCTTATATTATTCTTTTTTTTTTAATTTTTTAATCTCTCTTATTTTTTTCATTGCTTTTGTGACTTTTTTTTTAAATTTTAACTTTTTTTATTGAAAAAAGGATAAACTTTTTGACTTTTGTGGCTTTTTTTACTTTTTTATGACCTTTATTTTTTTTTATTTTTTAGTCTTGTCTTTTTCATTTATCCTTCTTTCCTTTTTTTATTTTTCTATACCTTTTTTACTTTTTTGGCTCTTGACTTAATTTTAAATTTCAGAAAAAAATAATAGTAGAAAAAGAAAAAAGTCAACAAAAATACAAAAAGAAAACATTTAAGAAGCCACATTAATAATATCAAACAAATGTACCCCTTAATTTAACAGAAAAAAGAGAAAAAGCCTTATCTGTAATATTTAAAATAGTAGATAAGTCATTTTTGCTTTACAGTGCAGCCGCAATTGTCATTCCAAGGTACCAAAATAATAAAAACCAAAAACGACATAAAAATGTCATAAAAAGTAAAAAAATCAAAAAAATTTACCATTTTTTCCATAAAAAAAGTAAGACAAGCCAAAACTAAAAACTCGAAAAGAAAAAAACAATTAAAACAATTTTATATTGAACAATTTTGTATTAAAAAAAAAGTAAAGTTAAAATGATACGTAGATTTTATCGCCGACCGTGTTTTGTGTGCTCCGATATATATATTTATAAATGCGGAAAATAATGTTTTTAAATTGTGATTTAATTTTAAAACCTTTACCAGTTTGTAAAAAGTGAATAGACAATGACTATTAGTGTATATGTGTGTTTGTGTTATGTAAAAATGGATTTTATTTAAATAAAACAAACTCTAATATTGCATTTGCACACATTTCAAAGGACAAAAAGTGTAAAAGAAAAAACTCCAAGCAAACAAAAAACTTTATATTAAAATAAAAATAAAATTATCCCCGTCAGGGGTTTGAACTCGGTTCGCTGCGGACTGTGCTTGCCCCGGTTGCCGACTTGCCCACTGAGCTATTGCTGCTATGTCTGAGTCCGAGGTAATAACTAAAAAATGCGGAAGGTGCAAGACGGTTCCTAAGGATTATCTCAAATGTATTATTTGCGAAGCATTCATGCACTTGAGTTGTGCTAAACTTAGCAAAAAAGTAAAAATAATTAACGAGAAAGATATGAATTGCTGTGAGGCTACTAAGGAATGTTCACAAAGCAATGAACCAACCTTATTATCTGAAGACCCTATGGTAGTTGAAATATACTACTTGAAGGAGCTATTGAAACATAAAGATGAGATAATTAGTTGTCAAAAATTAACAATAGATTCGCTAAAACAGCAAATTAATATTACTAATAATAATAAAAATATAAATAATCCAAACATAAATAATACAAAAGCTACTGAAGGCCAAAATACAAATAAAAATATTCAGAAAAATTCATCTAAAAATAAAAGTGTTGACAATAAAATCGCTACTACCGAAATTCAAGTAACAAAAGCAGTAAAGAAACCAATTGAGTTGGGAGCGGCTTCTCTTGCTATACTGGAAGCAAAAAGCGAAGCCGTTTGCGAACAAATAATAAATTTAACTAAGGATGATATTAACAAACCACAATTAAAGGCAAATAATGGAGATTGGGCAACTGTTGTCAACAAAAATAAGAAGAAATCCAAAACAAGTGTTGTGGGCAATATGACTAATTTAAGCAAGTGCACCATTAAAGTTGTGCCGAAAAAATCATTTGTCTACGTCACAAGATTGGACCCTACTACGAAATGCGACAATATAGTCGATTACCTTAAAGCCACCTTTCCCGAAATCAAATGTGAATCTTTAACATCAAAGTTTCCCACTTTTTACTCTTCTTTTAAGTTGACTGTGGACCTTGATAACTTTGAGAAAGTTATGAATCCAGACCTTTGGCCTCAAGGCACATACATAGATAAATTCTACCATCCGAGGCCAAAAATTGGTACAACTGATAAACCCAACAAAACCGAAGAAGCAAAAGCTTCTTTTTTATAAAGAAGAGGCATGACAAACCTTTGCTTAAAATATGTCATGTAAATATACGATCCCTAATGCCATGTTTTCATGATTTTGCAAATTTTGTAATTTTAAATGAATTTCAATTAATGGGAGTTACTGAGACTTGGTTAAATAAAGATATTGCAGATAAATACATTAATATCCCTGGATATAACATCTTTAGAAATGATAGAAGCACAAGGGGGGTGGAGTTTGCTGGTACGTCCACGATAGTCTTAGTGCTAAGCAACATCAAATTGATTTCATGGTGGACAATAGGTTAGAATTACTATGGATCAATATTTGCATAAATAAAATTAAATATGCGTTTACGGTATTATATAGGCCGCCTGATAACTCAATCAATTTGGATGATTTTGATAAAGTTGTTAAAATAATGAACCTAGAGGCTGATAAGGTAATAATAGTGGGGGATTTTAACATAAACATGCTACAAAATTCTACTATAAGAAACCAACTACTAAATATTCTTGAAATTTATGATTTAAATCAAATTGTCAAAGAGCCAACCAGAATAACGGATTCTTCACAAACTTTAATAGACCTCTTTATATGTAATATGGACATAATATGCGAAAATATTGAATTGATAGATCTGTTGAACTTAACAGATCATAAACTTTTAAGCTGTATGCTAAATATTGCAGTACCCATAAACCAACCTAAAACTATAAGTGCTAGAGATTATCAAAATATAAACATAGTTGAATTTACACGTGATGCCTCTCTTATAAATTGGGACAGGATTTATCAGGAAGAGGATATAAATATTAAAGTGGAATACCTAAATAATGCATTGGTGTCGCTTCTAGATGTTTACGCACCATATAAAACTTTTACAGTGCGCAAGCCCAGGCACCCGTATATGACGTACAATATTATCCAGTTAATAAAGCTTAAAAATCAAGCATATAAACAGTTTAAAAAAACTAATACATTATCAAAATTTAACTATTATAAACAAATACGTAACTACCTATCTGGAGCTATCAAACAGGAAAAAAAAGCTTATATACATTATCAAATAAATAATAATAAAAACAACTCTAAAAAATTATGGAAATCTCTGGACCAACTTAATATCCATCGTCGTAATACTAATCTTGCAATACCAGAAACAATAAACGCGGAAGATCTCAATAAATACTTTGTAGAATCAGTGCCAGATTCTACTATAGATGATGACCTAATAAATTATTTTTATTCAAATGCAAAGGCTAATTGTCCCAAATTTCACAAACTCCTAGAAGTTAATGAAACATCGGTTTTAAAAGCTTTTAAAAACATTTCCACCAATGCTGAGGGTGTGGATGGGATAAATCTTAAAGCATGGAAACTAGTTATATCTCACTGCATAGGACCGTTAACGCATATTATAAATATGTCTTTGCAAAATGGTGTAATACCACATATATGGAAGATTGCTAAAATAAAGCCATTGCCCAAGATACCAAAACCGGAAAACTATAAAGACTTAAGACCAATCAGCATTCTGCCAATAGCATCCAAGATCCTGGAAAAACTAGTCCATGAGCAAATAATTGAACATGCCAGTATGTATATTTTACCCACCATTCAATCAGGTTTTAGAAAGCATCACAGTACAAATACTGCTTTACTCAAGATCACAAATGATATTGTCAAAGCAATAGATAACTCAGAAGTGACCTTACTAACACTGCTCGATTTTAGTAAGGCTTTTGATGTTATAGATCACAATTTACTGTTGTCCAAGCTAAAATTCTACCAATTTGAAACAGCAGTTATTAAATGGTTTAGTGAATATCTCAACAATCGGAGTCAATTTGTGGAAATTAATGGAAGAATTTCTTCCTTGAAAAAAGTGTCCAGGGGTGTTCCTCAGGGAAGCATTCTTGGTCCCCTATTGTTCTGTATTTTTACAGCAGACATGTGCGAAACAATAAAACATTGTAAGATCCACCAATATGCGGACGACACACAAATATATAAATCCGTTAAACCAACATCCATAAATACAGCCATTCAATTAATAAATGAGGATCTCCACAACGTCGAAGAGTGGTCGACAAAAAATGGTCTTCTACTTAATCCAAGTAAAACTGTCAGCATCTGCATAGGCACTAAATCAAATAGAGCAAAAGCTATAACTACTAAAATCTGTGATATTAAAATTTCTCAATCTGTGATACAATTTCAAGACTATGTTAAAAACCTTGGTGTAATAATCGACTGTGATATGAACTTTGAAAAACATGTTAAAAATTTACTTAAAAATGCTTACATAAAATTAAAATCTATTTACAGCTTTAAGTCATTCTTGTGTAGTAATGTTAAGTGGAAACTATGTAATAGCATCATACTTAGTAATTTTAATTATTGTAGCAGTATTTATTTTTTTCATGCAACAAAAGCAACACAAAAATCCATTCAAAAGCTGCAAAATTGTTGTCTTCGTTATACCTATAATATTACATTTAGGGATCCTGTAACTAGTCATTATGTAGATAAAAACATACTGAAATGTGATAAACAATTTTTTTGTCAATATGCTGTCTTAGTGTTTGTTATAATTAAAGCTAATCTACCATCATATTTATTGAATTTGTTAGTACGTCGAAATCAGTGTCATAATGTTAATGTGCGTAATAATAGTTTTTTAACAATTCCCAGTCACAAAACTAGCAAATTTGAAAGTAGTTTTGAGTATTTGGCTGCAAAAATTTTTAATGATTGTATAAACCTGTTTAACGAATGTAATACTCCCTTAGCATTAAAACATAAACTTAGGACTCAATTGTTACTGGAGCAAAGTTTGTTAACATAGCATGTATTGTATTTCTGGTTGGAGTGGTAGAACAGTTTAACTGAACTCTCACCTTTTGTATGTAATGTAATGTTATTTATATACAATAAAGATATTTATTATTATTATTATTATTATTAAAAAAGTAAAAAGGGTTTAGAAATATCAAAATAAACGAAAATAAGAAAAAATAACAAGGTTAAGCGAAAATGACTTATAATAATCTACTTATTACTATATTATCCAGATAAGGCATTTTCTGTTAAAAAAAAGATATATTTTTTGTGGCTTTTTGACTTTTTCTTTTTGTGACATTTTGTGAAAATGAAAGAAGTAAACAGACTTTTTTCTTTTTGTTTTATTTTTTTTTACATTTGTTAATCTTTTTTGCTTATTTAATTTTTAAAGATTTTCGTGATTTTCTATACTTTTTCTTTATTGAAAAAGGGTCCATTTTTTTAAATTTGTTGTGGCTTTTTGATTTCTAGTTTTTATGACCTTTGAAAAAGTTTTTGTTTCTTTCTTTGACTTTTTTTTAATTCTTGACTTTTTAAAGTTTTTTGTTACTCTTTTGACTTTTCTTACTTTTATAAAAAGGTGTTTTTTTGACATTTTGTGACTGTTTGACTTTTTATGATATTTAAAAAAGTTTTTTTTAAATTTTTTCATTGGCTTTTTTATTTTTCCTATTTAAAATTTCGGTATATTGGAACGACAAGGTTCTAAGTGCAGATGCACTGTGAAGCGAAAATGTCTTATCTACAATATTAAATATTGCAGATGTTTTCCATTTTATTTTATAACAAAAAAAACTAAAAACAATTTTGTATTAAAAAAAGTAAAAAGGGTTTAGAAAAATCAAAATAAACGAAAATAAGAAAAAATTACAAGGTTAAGCGAAAATGACTTATGTATCTACAATATTTAATTTAATTTAATATCTAATAAAATATATCCAGTTAAGGCATTTTCTGTTAAAAAAAGATACATTTTTCATATTTTTTTTCTTTTTGTGACATTTTAAGAAAAAATAACAAGGATACGCGAAAATGACTACTAGGTATATTAAATTTAATTTAATTTAATATTTTTAACTAAATACAGATAAGGCATTTTCTGTTCAAAAAAGGTAAATTTATTTATATTTTTTACTTTTTCTTTTTGTGACATTTTGTGAAAATGAAAGAAGTAAACAGACTTTTTTTTTCGACATTTGTTAATCTTTTTTGCTTATTTAATTTTTAAAGATTTTTGTGATTTTCTCTACTTTTTATTTATTAAAAAAAGGGTACATTTTTTACTTTGTTGTGGCTTTTTGATTTTTACTTTTTATGACCTTTTTGTTGCTTTCTTTGACTTTTTTTTAATTCTTGACTTTTTTTATTACTCTTTTGGCTTTTCTTATATTTTTTATAAAAAAAGGTAATTTTTTTAAAATTTTTGTGTCTGGTTTTTAAAATTTTTTTTATTGGCGTTTTTTCCTATTAAATATTTTGGTGTCTTGGAACGACAAGGTTCTAAGTGCAGATGCACTGTGAAGCGAAAATGACTTATCTACAACATTAACTACTGCAGATAAGTCATTTTTTTGTCTTGTTTTTCGATTTGTAACTTTTTTCTTTTATTTTTAACATTTTTGTCTTTTTTGACTTCTTTTATTATTATTGACTTTTTTTAAACTTTTTGATTTATTATATTATGTAAAAGGGTACATTTTTTGTTTGTTTTTAGTAGTTTTTTAATTTTTTTGCCATTTTAAACTTTTTTCGGCTTTTCTTTTATTTTTTTTATTGTTTGCCTCTTTTTTACGTCTCCGGACATTCATCACTTTTTTTTTAAATTTCTTTTGACTTTTTTATTGTGATGTGATTTTTTGCTTGGAGTAATATTCTGATTGGTAACAATAACAACTAAGAACAATGGACATAAAATTTCAGAAAAACTCCTTAAACCTGCGCCGATAAGCTTAAAACCGAGCTTAAAACTGCACTTCGACAACATTTGGACCGGCACCTACGGCACATTCTGCAAAGTGGCGAACAAAGACGACGTTTACGTATTCGGACTGAACAATTACTACCAACTGGGTAAGAAAAATCCCCGATTAATACCCGACCACAATCCACACAACAAGGTCTGTTCTACCTCGTACTAAAAATACAAAAAATCACTGCAACACTGCACAGTTTAACGGCGGCCATTTTTGTTGTTTACAATTTTTGTGCTTTGGGTTTATGCTCTGTTTAATAATTGTTTTAAACGTTGGGTTTCTCATAGTAAGCCTTGAAAGAGTCCTTAAAGTGCTAAGAACAACCATTTTACTCCTCTATTGTAAAAAATAAACTTTATTCTATCAGGGCTGTCATAAAATTGTTAAATATGTCAATTTTAAGGTTAAATTATAACCCACAAATTAACCTTCAAATTGTCATTTGACAGTCCTGATAGAATAAGGTATATTTATTATAAAAGAGGAGTAAAATGGTTGTCCTTAGTACTTAAAGGCCTTATTTGAGGCTTACAAGTGCCTCTGTAAGAAACATAACGTTTAAAACAATTATTAAACAGCACAAACCCAAAGCACAATAATTGTAAACAACAAAAATGGCCGCCGTTAAAGTCTGTGGCACAGTGTGCAGTGTTGCAGTGATTTTTAGTATTTTTAGCATGAGATAGAACAGACCTTGTTGTGTGGATTGTGTCCCCGACAAAACCGCACGTCTAAAGCTTAATTTTCATGTATCCGTTTGTCCGATATCCGTATGTCAGTTTTTCAATAAATCGTCCGATAAGAAATGTTCTAATTTTCATGCATACGTTTTTTAATGACGTTTAACGGATTGATTTGGCGACAAATAGAAATTAAGTGGCAGTATATTTACTTTACTAAATTTACCTAATGCTTAATTGTCATAGTTACAATTATGTCAACAATTGTAACTTTAACAGTTAGCTGTCTAATAAATTTAAAGGTAGGTAAATATACCTTATAAAAAGAATATACTAGCCTTAATGTACATTAAAATGTATAGTTTTAAAAAAGCAGGTCCTTTTATTTCTAGTTTTAATTTTTTTTTGTTTGTCCTTTCTTTTTTTCCGTTATTCTTATTAAATAAGAACTTAACAGTAAAACATTATTTACATAACGAACGTAATATTTCCGTTTTACAATCTTATTGAAAAAATATAAAAATATTTGAAAATAAATTATCTTAAAATAAGGTTAGGCGTCAAAAACAGATGTGTAGTGACGGATGAGTTAAAATTATTTAACCTTTCTCTGTCAGACGTACGAAGTTGAAACTTGACGGACCGATAAAATGTCATAATTTTCGAATTATAATTGGACCAATATGAACGGACTGACGGACAAACGGATACATGAAAATTAAGCTTAAACCGCACGTCATAATCGTCGGTTTTTTCCCCTCAGGACTGGACATCGTGGGCCCGCAGTACGTGCCCGTGCTGTCGAAGGAGTTCTCGCGGCACGAGTGGAACCTGATCACGTGCGCGCAGCACCACACGATCTGCCTGACGACGGGCGGCAAGGCGTACGCGATCGGGCGCAAGGAGTACGGGCGGCTCGGGCTGGGCGAGCAGTGCGACGAGGCGCGCGAGCTGAAGGAGATCGAGGCGCTGAGCGGCGAGGATCTGGTCGACGTTGCCTGCGGCTCGTCCGTGTCTTTCGCCGTGACGAAGAAAGGTGAGCGTTTGCGATGCGCAGTAGGTTTTAAAGTGTTCGAAAAAAAGACGGAAAAATTGGTAAATTTTTAGAAAAATTCACTTTTGCATTTTTTAATTTTATTCAATGGGAAATACGAAAAAAATGCAAAAGTCAATTTTTCTGAAAATTTCCCAAAATCTTGAACGAAGTTTAAGTCACATAAAAATGCCGCCAAAAACAGATTGCAGTTTCTTGTTCGGGACCCTTTGGTGACTTAAAAATGATATTTACCAAAATCCTAGCTGCTCCTCTTTTCGAAATTTTTCGAAAGTTCATGTTTTTTTTTTAAATTTTTGTTTATTTCAAAGGCAATATATAAACCAGGCTTTATGGTCGTCGTTTAAAATTGCCTTCTAGGAAAATCTGCAAATCTCATTTAATACTTAGGTATATAAAATATTAATTTTTTAAAATATTTTTTTAATTTAGTAATTATAATTATAAAACAGGTATTTATATTTTTTAAGATATTTTTTTAATATCTATTCCAGATAATATTTAAAATAATTAATTCTAAATAAATATTTAAATATTTAAAAAACATTGAATATTCATTAAATATTAAATATATATTTAAAGAATATTTGGTGCTACTGGGGCACATTTGTACACCGATTTTTATAAAATTGGAGTATATTATTGAGGAGACTTAAAGAATACTTTTTAATACTGTTCACATCATTTAATATACACAGGGTTAGCCAAAAATCGCTTATTTTTAATAAAGTAAATTCATTGTTTTGGCATGACACGCAAAAAAGAATTGTTCTTTTTAGATATTTCTACGTTTATCAGGTTACAAAATGGCATTCTTATTAACCTTTTATATAAAAAATAGATTTTTAATAAAATTAAATAAAATAACGCTTAGAGAATATTTAAAATGTTGTTTAATTCAGGCTTTTTAGTAGTTTTCAATTTTAAACAAAAAACCGGTTAAAGTTTTATGATCGGCACTCTTTGGAGATTTAAAAACGATATTTACCAAAATTCTAACTGTTTTTTTTTTAAATTTGTAATATTTGTTTATCGCAAAGTCTACCTTTGCCAGAGTACACATTTGTACACCGATTTTTATTGTTATTATAAATTGTTAACGAGACTTGGAGAATACTGTTTTCATACTGAGCACATCATTAGATTTATACAGGGTTAGCCAAAAATCACTTTTTTATACAAGGTGTCCCTAAACTTAGTGGCATAAATTTAGGAGCAGATAAAGCAAGTCAACATAAGACGAAAATCTAAATAAATATTTTTTCTAATTACGTATGTTTAAAAGATACAGGGTGATAAAGTGTTACTTATCATATCAGTATTTTTAATATAACTTCTACTATGGTAGACTTGGAAAGGTGATACTTTGCGAACAGTCACTTACTATCAAAACACATATTCACAAATAATTACAATTGTTCGAGTGAACGCAGTGTCGTAGAAACAGGGGTTGCTTAAGCTTATTGTCCCATACAAACTTTGAGGTTAGGGTTTTATACCATTTGATGCAATTTTTCGATTACTCAGTTTTGCTACTATTAAAAAGGTGTACCTCTCAAACTTCGATAAAATAAACCGTTTCCGAGATATTCGAGAATACAATAATTGTTATATCGCATTAAAAGACTAAAAGGTATATGATAACAAATTTTTTAATTGAAAAAACTACAATTTTTTTTATGTAGCCGTCAGGGCAAAAAATTATGAGGCTCATGGAATGCCCTTTTTAGTTTTTTCAATTAAAAAATAAAATTTGTTATCATATCTTTTAATTCTTTTAATTAATGCGGTATAACAATTATTGTAATCGCGAATATCTCGGAAACGGTTTATTTTATAGAAGTTTGAGAGGTACACTAATAGTAGCCGAACTAAGTAATCGAAAAATTGCAACAAATGGTATAAAAACCTAACCTCAAAGATTGTATGGGACAATAAGCTTAAAGCAACCCCCGTTTCTACGACACTGTGTTCACTTAAACAATTGTAATTATGTGTGAATATGTGCTTTGGTAGTAAGTGACTGTTCGTAAAGTATCACCTTTCCAAGACTACCATAGTAGAAGTTATATTAAAAAAACTGATATGATAAGTAACACTTTATCACCCTGTATCTTTTAAACATACGTAATTAGGAAAAATATTTATTTAGATTTTCGTCTTGTTTTGACTTGCTTAATCTGCTCCTCAATTTATGCCACTAAGTTTAGGGACACCTTGTATAGTAAAAAGCATAATACACAAAAAAGATTCATCTCCAAAAAATGTTATTTTATTTAATTTTATTCAAAATTAATTTTCCCTCTAAAGGGTTAATAAGAATCCCATTTTGTAGCCTGATAAACATAAAAATATCTAAAAAAAATGGTTATATATCTTTTTTTGCGTGTTATGCCAAAATCATAAATTTACGCTTTTGCTTTATTAAAAGAAGCGATTTTTGGCTAACCCTGTATATATCAAATGATATGCACAGTATGAAAACAGTATTCTCCAAGTCTCGTTAACAATATACTCCAATATTATAAAAATTCGGTGTACAAATGCGTACTCTGTCAAAGGTAGATAAACAACATGGCGGCATTTTTATGCGACTTAAACCTCGTTCAGGCACACCGTACAGATATCTGTATACTGATAACAAGAAAAAAGTGAATTTTTAATATAAATAAAATAATTATTCCTATTATTATAATTCAGTAAGAATCTTCTACCGGGTCGCAAAAAAACAATTTTCTCTACGACTACTTAAGAATAGTAACATTCTAGTGTAATTTTTGATCATAGAAGGGATGTTTTTCTGCAATACTGTGCGAGAATATTCCTACTCTTGTATAAGAATGGTCACAAGTAACGACATCTCCTGGCTGTTTACTAAACGTAAAAAATTTAAAAATATTTAAATATTACTGTATTATTTATAATTTAAACATAATAGCAGTTGTATAATTAAGGTTTAGGCACAAAAAATTAGTTATATTTATTGTTTTTCAAATATACAAATCAAAATTATAATAAATTTGATATTAAAATGATAAACCAGTTACCTACTATACCGGCTTTGAAGTTTTGACAGATTCAAAAAGTTTAAAAAAAGACCTTTAAAATGTAGAAAAAGAATAGATGTTGATATAGATTACTTGTAAAATTAGTTTTGTATTTGTTACAATGTTATTTTTTTTATTAGTTAGTGTAAATAACTATTTTTAATTATAATAAAGATTTAGGAATACCATTTGTTTAAATTTATTATAATTTACATTATAAAATTGTGACAGCACAAAATGGTTTGACAATACAAAAAACTTAAATGTCAAAAACTGCTTGATTTCTTTTCTCTGTTTAAAATTATATAAGCGTTACTATTCTTACGTAGTCGTAGAGAAAATAATGTCTGAAACACGTTTGGAATAGCATATTCCACTCTCGTAAAACCGTCACACTCGCCTTCGGCTCGTGTGTCAAATTTTTCCTCGAGCGGAATATGCTGGATTCCAAACTTGTTACAGAATGTACTATTATTTATTATAATTTATTTCTGACCGCAAAGCAGTATAACCATACTGATATAATATAATATAATGTTAAGGATTTACAACATTTACAAAATTTCCAATGGAACACCCTATTTTTTATTGCAGATTATTAATTGACAAAATAATGTTTTTTTACCTTAAATGATACCTACTTAAAAAATCAGATTTAATTTAATAAGATAATTATTACCAAAACAAGTGATATTTTTATAGATAAATTATTGCAGAATCGTATTCAGAAGAAAAATCGAACAATATTGTTTTTTTTTCATTACAGCACCATCTATTACAAATATGAAAAAGTGTTTTAGACAAAATCTACCTATTTTAGTCGTGTTCCATTGGAAACTTTAAAGTTACCCCCTGTTCCCCCCATTAGGAGGAGAGTATGAGGACCAATTTTAGTACTGATTGATTTCCCCCCTCAAATCATTTAATTTTTATTTTAAACATTTTTTCGTAAAATGCATACTAACTGAGATATTATAAAGTTTCAAGTTAAATGACTCACCCTGTATATATTTATACATTTCCTTATACATATGTACCTGTAAATGCTGTAAAAGTCTTAACATTATATTATAGTATATTGTAAAAAAAAATTAGGCCCCGATATCAGTTTGGTTATACTATTAGGGTCAGAAATAAATTAGAATAAAAATTATTATAATTATAATACAAATTTTCCCAAAAATTACTATTTTTTTCAAGGCCTGCAAAAAAAGGGAAAATATGTTTTCCCCAATTTTTCCGGTGGTTTTCCGACACTTTAAAACCCTAGACTTATTTATAGACAATTTTGTTGTATTTTTATATCCAAAAATCATCAAAAATAATTACGTTCAGGAAAAAGCGTTTATTCGGGAAAAGTAATCATTTTTTGGGAAAATTAGTTTTTTGTTTGATTTGTTGGTATGTAAAATAGTCAATATCTTACAAAAATGATTTTATGAAAAGAATTAGGATTAGGAGTAGTATATTATGTACAAGTGTATCAAGTTTGATAAACGCCATTTTGGCCACTAATTTAACTTTTTTTTTTTAAATGTGTCTAGAAAAGTTTATAATAAACGAGTTGCATACTATACTTTTTCTACGACTAATACTGATTATTATCTAAAAATGATTTAAATTAAATATTTGTATAAAGCGACATCTATTCAAAAATATAGTAACTGTAATAATGGGAATATGTATTGCCGGCTTTCTAATTTCATCTTTTTTTTATATTTCTAAACCTTTTCACTTTTTTAAACTTTTGGTTTTTTTTTACTTTTTAAAGTTTATTGTTACTCTCAGCTTTTCTTACTTTTTTATTCTTGTACTTGAAAAAGAACAACTTTGGTGATATTAGAAATATTAGAAATATTCCCCAACACCAAAACAAAACAGAGGGCTTAAAGTACTTTTTATGTTTACATGTTGACATCTTCAGAAGCAAAGTGTAACTGACTTTGAACAAAAAAAAGTGTAGGTTTTTTGAATTAGCTTTTTATTTTTTCGTTTTTTAATATTTCGGTACCTTGGAATGACAAAGTTTTAAGTGCTGCTGTTAAGCAAAAATGATTTTGTTATACCTATTTTACGTAAATTCTTATTTTTAAAAGAAATTGACATAATTTTTTTATATGGTTAAATTTGAAAATTCGGTTCATTTCTGTTAAAAGGGGTCAGATTTTAAAATAGATGGAGATAGATCAATAAACCAAAATTTAAGAATTTAAAATTACTGAGGAATCTTAGATTTATCAGGGTCAAACAATATTGAGAATGTAAAAGAAAGGAAGAAAGAAAAACACATTCTACACTGCGCATCAAAATTAACGCATAACAATTAAAAAAAAATCCAACTCTAAAACGCCTTTACCAATATTTATAAAATTTTGGAAAAAAAATACTTTAACTTATATCTCAGTTTGAGGGTTTTTTGAGAAAATATCTTTAATAATATTTAAAATTTCACAGCATATTTTTTATTTACTTCAAAAAAAGTTTCTTTTTCACAGTGAAATACCGTATTTTTGATAGTATACCCTGAAAATGTTGTACAAATAAAACAGTAACGAAAATTCAGCGCTTCAAAGTTGTCAAAAATGACCACTTTTCGGCAAAATAATCAAAAAGGGGTCATTTTTACCGACTTTGAAGCGCTGTATCTTCGTTACTGTTCGTTTGATTTGTACAAAATTTTTAGGGTATACTAACAAAAATACGGTCTTTAACAGCATCATTTTTATTTACTACAAAAAAATCCCTAAAAGTTATTTTTTGAACGTTTTTTTATTATTTAATAAATAAAAAGTCTTTAAAAATATTTTCTCTAAAAAACTAAATTTTATAAAGATTGGTAAAGGCGTTTTTAAAGCGGTACATTTTGCATTTTAGGTGACCTCTATGCCTGGGGTATGGGGGACGGGGGCCAATTGGGCACTGGCGAAGAGGAGGATTGCTTCGAACCGAAGCTAATAAAGAGTAAGCAGCTACAGGAACGTAAAGTTTTCCGCGTAAGTGCCGGCGGGCAGCATACAGTCATCTTGGCAATAAACAATAACAATAACTGATAAAATAAGGAAGAAAAACAATTTATAGTGAGTAAGAACTAAAATAAAGTAATTAACAATTTAAAGGGTGTTAAAGGTATGTATTTATTATTTTAGTTTTATTAAATTACCTACACATTTTGGCGACCTTATCACTTTATTAACACTCCATTAAATTTACTTTTATTGAATTTAAATACAATATTACGCTGGATAATGAAGACAAAATAATTGTTATTAATTTACTTGTTATAAGTTATTGTGAATGATTTGTGTTTTACAGTTTGCATGGTTATGAAAAACATGTCTTTATTTTTATAGTTCCACAGTTTTTTATGGATAAATTAAGGATAGAACGTTTCATAACTAAGTTATTGTAGTGTGGATTTAGTTATACTTTTATGAATTTTACAAAACTGCTCTGTTTGTACTACTGCCATTTATGTATTTAATATTTGTATTATCAGTGTATATTAATTTATGTTTATATTGTTAATGTACAATAAAACTCAACCATTACCAAGAAATTCGTCTTTTACTTGAACTTACCTATTTATTAAGAATTAAAAACAATTTTATAATAATTGTAGTTTTAATGCAATAATTATATTAATAATAATCTTTTTTACAAAATATACAGGGTCCATAAAGAAGCAGCCTAATTTAATCTATTATGTTAAGGTTGGTAACAACCAGCGTTTTCAGATTCTGTCAAAAAAAGTTGCAAGATTTTGTTTAAATTTAACTTCATTACAAAATCGACATAATAAACAATTAATAACACTTTATTAACAGAAATAAGGAAATATTTGGTATTTTTATAGGTTGGGGAGAATTGAAATTATGCTCTTGGTAAAAATAAAACTTTATTTAAAGTAAAATTATACAAAATTAAAAAAAGAAAAAACAATGTCTAGCTACATTTTGTGTACTCTACCTTGCTCTATTTATATAAATAACATTACATAAAGTACAAATTAATGTTAATAAAGAGATTTGTGTTTTTTAAAGTACTTAGATTTAAAGATATAAATATTCTAGATACGCATAGCAGTTTTTAACTTAACTCTTATTTACTTACAAATATTTGAATTACTTGACTAGTTTCTAGTCAGTTATTTAAAATTTATGTACATTTTCTATATATTCAGTGTACATATTTGGTAACTTCATATACTGAACATTGTATACGATTTGACAGTAATCGAGATTTGTCTTAAAATTAAAAGTGAATTTGAACATTCAGCTCCAGACAAATTCCCACCACTGCTCATTAATTCAATAAAAATATATTTATATATAAAATCACAAATAATGGGTAAAATTAGATGGCAATGTCATTAATATTAATAAAACTGAATGAAAATTTACAAAATTGTACAGCTATTGATAAAAATATTTCACAACCAAAAAATTAGTTTTTTACAAAACAAACAAACAAAATAAACTTTATAAGTAACTCGTTATTCAAAAATAACAAAACAACTGTTTTATTTGAAAAAGGCAAATATAATACTATCAGATTAATAATAACTATTGCTGTAATAAATTATCGTGCGGGATAATACGGTAATACCAGGTTTTCCGTCTCCAAAATGAGCCTTGGAACCTCGGTTTTCATCTTAACTTAAGAGTTATTTGCCTATATTTCAAATATAATTTTCAAAGTGCCTCTAATAACCACTGGATAAGATAAATATTTATTATAATCACATATATCAAGGCATACATCTAATCTACTACATTTAAATTTTAAGTACACTGGGGAAAGGCCTCAATTACATTATGGTTCAATTTTTAGAGCATCTAAATGCCATTTTAACAATTTCATTATCATTATAATAAAAAAAAATTGTCAGTAACCTCAATTTTGAATTTAAAAAAAATATTATTATAACATGAAATTTACAAGGTTTTTTGGAACTTTGGAGATTAAAAAATTCTAAATTTTGGGACAATTGGAAATATTAAAAATTTTGAAATACCTATGGCAAATTTTTAAAATTTACAAAACTGAAGTTGAAAATTTTTACCCGCCTTGATACCAAGGCAATTTTGGATATAATAATATTTCTAAGATTTTGGAAAATTTTGAAAACTAGGAATTTTAAAAATGTTGTAAATTTTAGGACTTTGAAGATTTTGAAAATTTTTAAATTTTCAAAATTTCTAAAAATTTTGATTTTACAACTGAGGTTTTTAAAAATTGGAAAATTTTAGAAATATTGTATATTTTAAAAAATTTGATTTTGTTAAATTTTCAAAATTCTCAAGATTTTCAAAATTTAGATATTTTAAAAATGTTGATTATGTAAAATTTTCAAAATTGGAAAATTTGGAAAATTTTGGTCAATTACAAAATATTTAAAACAAAAATATCGAAATATCAAAAAAATTTCAAAATTTTAAAGATTCTAAAAACTTAAAACAGAAAAATTTTGAAAGTTCGAAAATTATAGATATTTTGGAAATTCACAAAAATTTTGAAAATTTTGGATATTTCGAAAATTTTAGTTATTTTAAAAATGTTGATTATGTAAAACTTTCAAAATTGGGAAATTTTGAAAACTTAGACATTTTGGGACGATTGGAGGTTTGGAAAATTTTGGTCAATTACAAAATATTTAAAACAAACAAAATTTGTTAAAAGTATCAAATATCAAAAAAAATCAAAATTGAGAAAATTTTCAAGATTCTCAAAACTGAAAATTTTCAAAAACCTCAATTTAGAAAATTCTAAAATTATAGACATTTTGAAAATTTTGGATATTTTGAAGATTTTAGATATTTTAAAAATATTGATAATGTAAGATTCTCAAAATTGGAAAATTTTGATCAACAAAATATTTAAAACAAACTAAATTTGTCAAAAGTATCGAAATATCAAAAAAAAAATTAAATTGAGAAAATTTTAAAGATTCTCAAAACTGAATTTTTTTCAAAAACCTAAATTTTAAATATAAACATTTCGGAAATTCACAAATTTTTTTAAAATTTTGGATATTTTGAAAATTTTTGATATTTTAAAAATATTGATTATGTAAAACTTACAAAATTGGAAAAATTTGAAAACTTGTACATTTAGATCAATTACAAAATATTTAAAACAAACTAAATTTGTCAAAAGTATCGAAATATCAAAAAATTGAGAAAATTTTGAAAGTTCCAAAATTATAGACATTATGGAAATTCACAAAAATTTTGAAAATTTTGGATATTTTGAAAATTTCAGATATTTTAAAAATATTGATTATGTAAAATTTTCATAATTGGAAAATTTTGAAAACTTGTACAATTACAAAATATTTGAAACAAACTAAATTTGTCAAAAGTATCGAAATATCAAAATTGAGAAAATTTTCAAGATTCACAAAACTGAAAATTTTCAAAAACCTCAATTTAGAAAATTCGAAAATTATAGACATTTTGAAAATATTGGATACTTTTAGATATTTTAAAAATATTGATTATGTAAGATTTTCAAAAATGGAAAATTATGAAAACTTGTACATTTTGGGATGATTGGAGTTGGAAAACTAAATTTGCCAAAGGTATGGAAATATCAAAAAATTGAGAAAATTTTCAAGATTCTTAAAACTGAACATTTTTCAAAAACCTAAATTTTGAAAATTATAGACATTTTAGAAATTCACAAATATTTAAAATTTTCAAAATATCCAAAATTTTAAAAACATTGATTATGTAAGATTTTCAAAAATGGAAAATTTTGAAAACTTGGTCAATTACAAAATATTTAAAACAAACTTAATTTGTCAAAGGTATCGAAAATTTTCAAAATTGGAAAATTTTGAAAACTACCTAATTTAAAAAAAATTAAATTGTAAGTTTTGGGACGATTTGAGATTTGGAAAATTTTGGTCAATTACAAAATATTTAAAACCTAAAGTTTGTCAAATATTAGAAAGTATCGAAAAACGAACATTTTTAAAATTTAGAAAATATTTAAGATTCTCAAAGTTGGAGAATTTTAAAAATGATTTTTGAAAATTTGTACCCAAAAAAAACCTCAATTTTAAAATAATAAAAATATGTAAATTTTGAAAATTTTGGTTATTTCCAAAATTTACAAAATCTTGAAGATTTTCAAACCGGTAAATTTTGAAAAATGTACCCAAAAAAACCTCAATTTTAAAATAATAAAAACTTTAAAGATGTAAATTTTGGTTATTTCCAAAATTTCCAAAACATTAAAAATACCTTTAAAAAATATACAAAATTTACTAAATCTTTTAAAACTGTAAATTTTGAAAATTTTTACTCACCATAAAACCTAAGTTAAGGTTGTGGAGGAATAGGCAATTCTGGGGTTTAAACATACTACATACAAATGAGGATTTAAACTGACTGTTTCCTGGTAATATTCTCGCAAAAAAAAACGTTAAAATGGCATTTTAGACCCTAGTCGATTTCTCACTGAGGTACGATAAAATTTACAAGTCGACAACGATTTATCTGAGATCGCTTCTGCCTTCCGCGAAGAGGAATGTGCTCGACGAACGCTTATTCGAAAAAATGGACTTCATTTGGACGTTTTGGGCAGATGGCGCTTCATGTGCAGCGCCAAGTGATCGCTGCGCGCGAACGAGCGCTCGCACACGCCGCACTTGAACGGCTTGGCTCCGGTGTGCTTCCGGTAATGGCGGGTCAGCTCGTCCGAACGCGCGAACCGCCACTCGCACTCCGGCCACTGGCACTGATAAGGCTTCTCACCTGAAACAAAATGTGCCTTACAGTTTTTCAAATGCCTTGGCACGGTGCACCGTGCACACTGCAGTGTTCAAAACTTAAGTATAGGACGAACAAAAATGCCAACCAAAACTGATAGCATATTTTGATTATAGACCCTTTTGGTAACACTAACATGTATTTATCAAAATCCCAGCTGATCCTATTTTAAAGTTTTGCAAACTTTTTTCTATTTCTATATATTATTTTGCAATTATCGTACTAAAACTACCTGTACAATTTTAATAAAATTAAGCAAAATAATAAACTTTGTATCATTTAAATTACTTTACTCCCCAGTATTATTTTTTACCACTCAAAACAAACCATAACATTTATATCTTAAATATTTTTTATAACAAAAAATACTGGAAGTTTGTCTATGAAATAATTACAACTTGCAAATTTTGTAAAACAATAATTAAGGTGGTTATGAAAAAAATTGCTATACGTTATAACGCAAGTGACATTTTGCTTTATAAAGCAAAATGTTATATTTACTATAGTTTATTTAATGTATACTTTATAAAGTTAAAAATAGTATTTTAAAATGAAAATTTAAGTTAAGCCATAAAGAAAATCGAAAGAAGGTATGTGCTGGCTGTGGAGACAAAATTGTTTTTGGTAATCGAAAAATTCAGAGTTTAAGGTTTCTGAGGAAATATAAAAATTACTGCAGACTTTTTCAAACGAACGCTTTAACTTAAGTAATTCAAAATTACCTACTTCAATATGGTAAAAACGGTATTTTTGCATAGCCAAATTTTCAAAATTTAGAAATTGCTAGAAAATTTCGCGGCAGCCAAGAATGTATGTGCTTTATCTGCAAAATGGCAAGATATAAAGGGCATTAAAATTATTAAGGAAAGAGGACGGACGAACGAACTAAAGTTTTGATATGCTCTTCCTTTCTAGGGGATATCGCTAGATGTAAGAAGCATGTTTGTACAGAGACTGAAGAATTTAAAAATACTGTTTCCATGTTAAAAACAATTCAATGTAAAACCCAAGAAAAAGTTTTACTGAAAATTTAAGGCAAGCAGTAATCGATTTTGCTTCAAAGAATCTTTAGTAATTTATTAGTTTTGTATTAGGTACCTTAAAACAATAATATTGAATAAAGAATAAGCTGGGATTTTGATAAATACATTTTTGTGTTACCAAAAGAGTCTATAATCAGATTATGCTATCAGTTTTGGTTGGCATTTTTGTTCGTCCTATACTTTAGTTTTGACCACCGTGTTGGGAAAAGATGCCCAACCCTGCTAACAGAAACTCGATCAGATATCCAAGTGGATCATGAAAACATGATCGAAGTTCAATCGTATTTCGTTGAGGTTCAAATCATGTTTTAATGAAATATTTATTCAATTTTATCATTTTTTAAACTTGATCATATTTGATCAAAAAAACATGATCGAGTTTCAATCTTCAATCTCGTTTTGATAATGTTATCATTAATATATTTGTTACTTCTATACTTCGATTGATTAATTTATTGGACATTTACTACTTAGTACCTGTACTATACTATACTATACAGGGTGTTTCACATTCGTACTCCATTGGAAGTTTCTGGGGAACGGAAAAAGATATCGGTTTGAAATTTTAAAAGTGTTTATTTAGGTCTATTTTTCTAAAATATTTAAAACAAAATACCAGTAACATCAACTTTGTTATTTTAAATAGAACACCCCATATATTTTTACATTTTTAAATTCTGTATAAAATTATATAATATATAATTATAATAAAATGTCCTATCCTAAAGTGAATAGTTTTCGAGTTATTAATTAATTTTCAAAAAAAGAAAATTTTAAAAACTTCATAAGTAAAAAAATTAAATTGGTTTCGCCAATTTTGAAAATTCGAAAATTATAGAAATTTTGGAAATTCACAAACATTTTGAAAAATATTGATTACAAATTTTGTATATCACAAAATTTTTCAAAATTGGAAGAAAATTTTGAAAACTGTAAATTGAAAAAAAATTAAATTGGAAGTTTACTCAATTTTGAAAATTCGAAAATTATAGAAATTTTGAAAATTCACAATTATTTTAAAAAATTTGGATTTTTTTTGAACTGATTATGTAAAATTTTCAAAATTTCTAAATGTATCGAAAATTTTCAAAATTCACAATATTTTCAAAATTGGAAAGTTTTTAAAATTCACAAAATTTTCAAAATTGGAAAATTAAATTGTAAGTTTTGGGACGATTTGAAATTTGCAAAATTTTGGTCAATTACAAAATATTTAAAACTTAAAATTTATAAAATAATAACAGTATCGATATATCGAACATTTTCAAAAATTAAAAAATATTTAAAATTCTCATAATTAGAGAATTTTAAAAACGATTTTTTGAAAATTTTTACAAAAAAAACTCAATATTTAAATAATAAAAACTTTGAAGATGTAAATTTTGCTTATTTCCAAAATTTTCAAAACATTTAAAATAGCTATCAATAATATAAAAAATATTGAAGATTTTCAAAACTGTAAATTTTACTCATCATGAAACCCAAGATAAAACAATGTTTATAATATTCCATGTCAATTCTTTATTTTCTTTCATTTACTTTTGGTTTTAGTTTTTATGATACTAGATAAAGCAGTAATTTGTTAATTAAAATACAACGTTTTATTTTTACCACATTGGCACCGCTGAATTTGCTGTCACACCAAACTCTTCAAATGGAGATACTACCGTAATAAAAATTGTCGACTTTCTTAAGCAATTAATCATAAATAATTAAATTTTCCCATTTCAACCTAAACTGGAAGTGAAATTTTCATTGTTATAATATGTTTTTATTATTGCAAAAAGTATTTGCAAAATTTATGGTTTTAGAAATTTGCATTATCAGGAAAAAAAATCCACATTAGGTAGTTTGGTGTAAGATTTGTTTTGAAAATAATAAAAAAAAATTTAAAACTCTAAAAGAAAATTATTTTTAAATCATTTTAATGAAAAGTAAGAATAATGCAAGCTGACGCACCTACTAATTGTAAATTATTTTTTTATATTATATAAGGATAAAATAATAATGTTCTAAATACGTTTCAAATTAATGTTTTAAATTATTAGTTAATGTTTTGAATTTTTTGACACAAATGTCAAAAAATACCTTTATCTATTTTGCGTTCATAATGACTTCATTATAACACCCAAAATTTTATAGGTTGGCTATACTTTAAACAGCATAATATTTTGCATATTGGTTAAAATATTTTTATGATTTTTCTAGTACTTACGAGACTTTTCTGGCAATAAATTTTGTTTAACACCAAAGAAAATCCTTTTTTTCTCCTTTAACATTAACAGCCGCTTATTGCAAATAAGTAAATTAAGGACGGCATGGCGAATAGATTTTGACATTAACTGTCAAAACACAAATAATATTAATATTATGGAGTAGAACATTCATTTTTTAAACTTTTTTGGATGAAAAGTGAATAATTATCTTAAATTCCTTACCTGTATGAATTCTTTGATGCGCCTTCAGATGTGAGCTTTTTGTATAAACTTTTGTACAACCTGTAAATAAAGAAAAAACAAACAATTAAATAAATGTATTTTTTTTATTTTGTAAACAATTCTTTAACGTTATTTATAACTTTTTAATCAGATGCATTAGTTGAGTAATTAATAGTCAGGTTTAATTAAATCCTAATACGTTGAATGCCGTAATATGCGTTGACATTTATTTTGCGGCCCACGTATTTTTATTATAACATGTTAGTGTGGGCATGTTTCAAATATTTTTGTGGTGAATAAATTAATTGCATACAACTTTTTATCTATTTTGCGTTCATAATGACTTCATTATAACACCGCTTTCGGTGCTGTAATGAGATACTTTATCCCTTCCAAAATTTTGATTTTATAGGTTGGCTATACCACAGGCAAAATAATCGATCCACACAAATTTTCGATGAATTTCAATCGCAAATAACTTTTTTATTTGATTTCGGATTTAAACAAATATTAAAGAATATTGTAGATACATTAATGGACAATCGCTCACATTTTAAAAAATTACTAAAAAATAGACGTACGTTTATAATATACAGGTTTAAACAAAAAGATGTTTTTTACCATAAGTTTAAGACACTCTGTAGAGTGGCAAAACCGTATATTGTTCTAAATTAAGTTTTAATTATCAAGTCACATCTATGTTTAACAGTTTTGTTTTTGGTTCACCTTGATATATTTATTTTTGTGGAAAATATGAATTTTTTTTAAAAAACATTGTAATTTCCAATATTTTTTCTGTATGAAGATCTAAGGTTGCTATGGTCCATCCATAGGCTGTGGAGAATGACAGTGACAGTTTTGTTGAATCATCCCATACTTGGACATGTCATATACAGCTTTCAAAAGGTATCAAATTGTTTTTTGTAAATTAATGTGTTAATTTTGAGGTGTCTTCTTACTTTTAAAAATGTCTCCGACTGATGTTGCCCTTTGTACTTTACTTCTTGTGACGTTTAAAACACTTGACACGTAATACTGTGACCGTCCATCCTGGATTAAATTAATGGGTCTGGCAACATCAGTTGGAGACATATCCATTTTTTAAAGTAAGAAGACACCTCAAAATTTAAACATTAATTTGCAAAAAAACAATTTGATAACTTTTGAAAGCCGTGTATGACATGTCCAAGTATGGGATGATTCAACAAAACTGTCACTGTCATTCTCCATAGGCTATGGATGGACCATAGCAACCTTAGTTCTTCATACAGAAAAATATTGGAAATTGCAATGTTTTTTTTTTAAATCCATATTTTCCACAAAAATAAATATATCGAGGTGAACCAAAAACAAAACTGTTAAGAACAGATGTGACTTGATAAATAAAACTTAATTTAGAACAATATACGGTTTTGCCACTCTACAGAGTGTCTTAAAATTATGGTAAAAAACATATTTTTGTTTAAACCTGTATACAGGGTGTCCCAGAACTCGCGCCACATAGAAAACCGGAATGTCATTAATATTATATTAGGTTATAAAATAAGTTATTATAAATAATGTTTTCCTTAGATGATTATACTGAAATGATATTTTGAATTTTCGATATTTTGATCTTCGACATTTTGTATTTTCGATATTTTGATTTTCGATAAAAAGTGTTCGATATTTTGAATTCGATATTTATATTATTTATATATGTATTCATTATAATGAATTTCGATATTGTGAATGTCACCCGTTCTGAAGTATAAGTCATAGATTAATAACCTCATTTTTGAAAGCTTTTGACAACTTAGTAAATACAGTTGGCCAAAAAATTTTTAAATGTTTTTAATACAACAATGTTCTATCGTCTCCTAGCAATTTTTAAAGCTCTTACGCTTAACCAGGGACCCGGACCGAAACCGAAAAAAACCGAAAACCGGAACGGAACCGGTTTTTTTTCGAACCAAAACCCGAACCGGAACCGTTTTCGCTTTTGATAAAATCTGTTGGACCGGAACCGAAACCTTTATTTGCTTTCATTCTAATAACATATATATATGTGAGGTTATAGATTAAAATTACGTAAAACAAATAACCTCACTGGAACCGCTTAAAACCGAAAAGAACCGAACCGTTATAACTCCACGAAACCGAAACCGGAATCGGAACCATTAAAACGAAAATAGGGTGAACCAAAACCGTACCGGAACCGATATTTCATTTCGGTCCGGGTCCCTGCGCTTAACCTAGGCGAGAGCTCTCGGTATTGGCTGCCGCTTTTTTGCTCTCATTCGATTACAATATTACCTAGAAATTTTTTATTTTTAAATTTGGCATCTCCATTGCTATCGGCACGCCCCCTTTTTCTCTGTGGCGCGAGTTCTGGGACACCCTGTATTATAAACGTACGTCTATTTTTTAGTATTTTTTTTAAAATGGGAGCGATTGTCCATTAATTTATCTACAATATTCTTTAATATTCGTTTAAATCCGACATCAAATAAAAAAGTTATTTGCGATTGAAATTCATCGAAAATTTGTGTGGATCGATTATTTTGCCTGTAAGTATATTTTCAAAGACAGGAAAATTAACTACTAGATTTTTCTACTATCTTTTTATATCGATTTTATATAATAATTAACAAGGAAATTATCAATAATAAATATTACTGCCAATTTGACAGTGACAGAGTATTTAATTAAGGTGTTCAGCAGAAGAACTATTTTCAAAATACTAAATCAAACTGGCATAAATATCCCACATGTGTTAATTTTGACACACCTTTTGTAAAAGAAATGCTTAGATTTCCTTATTATCAATTAAATTCAACAATGCCCACATTACTATCTTTTGTCGAATACAATGGAGTAAAATTATGTATATTGGGCACAAATGGTATGCAGGGCAACGCAACGTTCCATATTCATTCATTTGCAGTGATTTCGCCTGTTGAAAAAGGCACTGCCTACATTTTCCGTCGAACAATCAAACGTGCAATTTTCTTACCCGCAAATGAAATGCAAATAAAGACGATTTGTATGCGCAAGAATTCAAAGCACTGAGCCCATATTTATCTCTCTCTCTCTGTCATTCTCCCTTCAAGACTCAAGTCTCTTCAGAGAAATTTCATAATTACGCTCGCTCATGTGTTGTGGGCGCGAAGAAAAAGTTCCTTCATTAATTTTGTCATTAGTATTCCAAAATAAATTAACGTAGTTGCAAGACCCTATGCACAGGGAGGCAAAATACAAAAAAATATATGCTAAAAATACTAAAAATCACTGCAACAATGCACAGAGTTTAACGGCGGCCATTTTTGTTGTTTACAATTCTTGTGCTTTTATTTGGGTTTTTGCTGTTTAATAATTGTTTTAAACGTTGTGTTTCTTACAGAGGCACTTGTAAGCCTCAAATAAGGCCTTTAAGTGCTAAGGGCAACCATTTTCCTCCTCTTTTATAATAAAAAATATACCTTATTCTTTTAGGGCTGTCAAATGACAATTTGAAGGTTAATTTGTGGATTATAATTTAACCTTAAAATTGACATTTGACAGTTTTATGACAGTCCTGATAGAATAAAGTTTATTTCTTACAATAGAGGAGTAAAATGGTTGTTCTTGGCACTTTAAGGACTCTTTTAAGGCTTACTATGAGAAACACAACGTTTAAAACGATTATTAATCTGTATAAACAGAGCACAAACCCAAAGCACAAAAATGGTAAACAACAAAAATGGCCGCCGTTAAACTGTGCAGTGTTGCAGTGATTTTTTGTATTTTTAGTACGAGATAGAACAGACCTTGTTGGGTGGATTGTGAAACACTGTAAAACGTCACGGAATTTTCAAAGTTGCTCAAATCTGTCAAACTTACCTTGAGAACTTTACTATTTAAACTAATTTCTCGCTAAAACAATTGAATGAATGAATTTGTGGTTATGTTTTTCATTTAATCTGAAGCGCAGCTACGAACGCCATCTATTCAAATTAATCCAAAGTTGTACGAGCTTGCGAGCGAGTGCTTAATTAAATGAGTACAGTTAATTTTTTTTTATCTGGACTCGTGTTTTTTTGTTAGGTTGGTGGCTTATGCCAGTTTGACTTAGGGCCATTCCACGCTTAACGGATAGGACAGTTGCCGTGTTTTTATTTACAAAATAATATTGTTCTACTATATTACCAATGTCAAATTTTTATGAATAGTTCTAAACAAAAGCTGTTTAACAAGGTTTTTATTTGGCAAAATTAGGTATCGTGATTGACTTTTTAATTCCTTAAAGCGTAACGGACGGGACTATTACAAAGTCCCGTCCGTTACGCTTTAAATTATTAGTTTTTAAGGAATTAAACAGTCAACCACGATACCTAATTTTGCCAAATAAAAACCTTGTTAAACAGCTTTAGTTCAGAACTATTTATAAAAATTTGACATTGGTAATATAATAGAACAATATTATTTTGTAAATAAAAACACGGCAACTGTCCTATCCGTTACGCGTGGAATGGCCCCTTAGTATTTTTAGTATTTAAAAATGGTACTTCTGCTAAAGAATTTAATTAAATACTTTGACACTGTCAAATTAACAATAATATTTATTATTGATAATTTACTTGTCAATTATAAACAAAAAGATAATTATGCCAAAAATAATAGCAACGAATTCGAATGTATAAGCCTTTTTGAGGGCAAAACTTCATTTTGATGAAATTATGCCAAATGCCACAATGGAAGAAAAAGTACATCGCCCTATGGACATTTTTGGAGTAAAAAAGTAATTAATTTGGTTTTATAAATATTACATCACACATTATTTTCACATTATTGTACAACATTTACGTTCACAAAAAATTTTAATTTCTTTTATATAAATTCTTTTCAAAGCGAAAATTATTATCCTCTAGGAATACTTTCTCTTCTGGGCCGTAAAGCAACCTATATTTAACTACTTTTTTATATGATTTTACTCATCCAAGCACCACCAAAGCCAAATTAATTGCATTTTTAACTAAGAATATCGACAACTCAACTTGACAACTGCACAATGTAACCTACAATAATTTATACATAACCACAATTAGATTTATAACTAGCTTAGTTTGTTTTAATCAATGCGACCAACTTGACAACTGTATTTCCCAAACAAAACCCTAAATTTGCAACGTGGCCGCAGTCCAGATAAAAAAAAGAACTTTACCTAGAAAATTTTATTAACGAGTTAAAATTTCTAACTTTTTCTGTGTACCTAAATCGAAATTTATCCCGTTGAAAATAGACAAACAATTGATATAGAAGCAGTTTTTCACAATAAAAGAGAAGAGAATGTTTTATGAGCACTGTACGCAAAATTTTTTAACGCTTTATCAGTTAAACGTTCATATATTTTTTTCAAATATTGGCGCCAAGAAATTATTTAATACTTTTGTATTTTTGTGTTGAAATAATAAAATTATTTTTACATTTAGTATTATTTGAACGATTGTATGACATTTGACAACTGTCAACTAACTTAAAGCTAACTTCAGCCCGTGAGTCACGGGCCGTGACTAAAAACCTGTTGCAGTTTAGCAATAATAAAGGTAGTCTTAGCACCACCTTTAAAAAATTTTTACCTGGAAATCAGACTGTCAAACTTTCTAAAGTCGGTTTCATATAGATGCGAAATGCGAATTGCGAAATACGAGCATTTTTCGCATTTCGAAAATAAATGAAACTGACTTAAAATTTTGTGAATGCCTTTTAGACTAGGTACCTAGAATTTTCTAATAGCAAAAATTGCAGTAAGAGATTAATTAAATAGAAATAAATAATAAAAAAGTGAAACAGTTTATAAAAAAAACATAAATATTAGACTGGGCCAAAAAATTTGACTATTTTTTTTTTTAAATATATCGAGAATTTGATTCAGAATGACAAAAAAAATTCGTGAAAATTTGGGCCCTTAATATTAATTTTAGGAGGTCTATCTATACGTTAGAACTGTCAAAATATTAAAGTGAAAAAAATTCCTTTTCACTTATATTTATATCAAATTAAATTCTCTACAAAAAAGGTCTGATTGAAAATTTTCGTCAGACGAGCCGTTTCCGAGTAATTGAGCTTAATAAATCGATGTGTTTTTTCGATTTGCCCTTTTTACTTTGAAATTTTGTAACAAATGAATCAATGAATATTTAAAAAAGCTCACGTCGGATTCTTAAAGAAAATTTAATGTTCTACAAAAAAGGCCTTTTAACATTTTTGCCTAAATTTAATTCTTCAAAAGTTATTCACGATTAAAATTAGAGATGGGAAAATTCCCATTTGACGAAAATTCCCGGAAACTTTCCATCGAAAATTCCCGAAAGTTTCCGAAAGTTTCAAAAAAAAAAAATTTTATTGGGAAAATATTTTTTTTATGCCAGGGATTTGCAAAAATATATAACAAATTAACTTTTTGTCAAATTTTATTAAGAAAAAAAAATGTTTATAAGAATGTAACTGCAATACTATTTTTAGTATCTTTTACTTTGGAATATTCCTATTGTATACTGAAACCTACAAAATAAAAATAAAATGTTTACTAATAGAAATTCACTGCTAGTTAATCCTAGATATTATGTAAAAAAAATTAAAAGGGACAAAGTAACTAATATATATGAATATTGAAAAGTAAAAAGTTAAGTAAAAAATAATTCCAAACACTAGATTTTTTTCTTGGCATTGTGCTATGCCTATAAATAAACAACAAAAATGTAAGAATGATTTTAACTTTGTTTATTGTTTTTATTTTGTTTACCTTTTTTAAAAAAGTTTTTTGTGATGCTGAATAATCCGGCTTCATTGAGGTTATGTAACTTACATTATTTATACTTCTTCTTCTGCTTTAAATTAACACACATTAAATTCTTATTCAAAGTTTCTTGGCCTTGTATCATGGCCTTAACGAAAATCAGCGGTTAAACAATTGACATTTAAATGAAAAAAACAAGGAAAGTTTCCAAGGAATGTTTCCAAGGAATGTTTACGATAGCTTAAAAGAAACTTTCAAAATAAAAATAAATTCCCAATTGGAAACTTTCCAAAACGGAAAGTTTCCTTAAAATGGAAACTTTCCGATTCCCATCTCTAATTAAAATCTAAGAAAATATCAATTTTTTCTTCGTGAATAACTTTTGAAGAATTAAATTTAGGCAAAAATGTTAAGAGACCTTTTTTGTAGAACATTAAATTTCCGACGTGAGCTTTTTTAAATATTCATTGATTCATTAGTTACAAAATTTCAAAGTAAAAAGGGCAAATCGAAAAAACACATCGATTTATTAAGCTCAATTACTCGGAAACGGCTCGTCTGACGAAAATTTTCAATCAGACCTTTTTTGTAGAGAATTTAATTTGAAATAAAAATAGGTGAAAAGGAATTTTTTTCACTTTAATATTTTGACAGTTCTAACGTAAAACATCAAATTATGACTAAAAATCAAAAATAGCGATGATAGACCTCTTAAAATTAATATTAAGATTTTTTTTTGTCATTCTGAATGACATTCTAATATTTTTTTCAAAAAAAAATAGTCAATTTTTTTGGCCCAGTCTAATAAATATATTTCTTTGCATTTTTCTGCTTACCTATAAAATCACAATGGTGTATCCGCCTCTTTTCCAGCTCGGGGTTGTTTCGCCTATTGTACTTCATGCCGGAGGCGGTGATCCTCCCCGTGGGCGGGGTCTGCTGGGGGCAGCCGGGAGCGGGATACGGAGGGGGCGGCGTCCGCCGCGGCAATGCGCCGCCAGGGGAGCCGGGCTCCGAACTGGGCGGAGTTAGGGGGTAGATTAGCCTGAGAGAAGCAAGAAAGTTTTGTATTGATTTTATGTTTTTCGTGACTGTAAATAATGTATATGAACAAAATTTTTCTTTTTTCCCTCCCAGAAAATGATTTTCAGATCGCGTCATTTATTTTTTTTAAGTGCTAATCAATAAAATGTTATCCACGGTATTCAGCACATAATATAACAGCAAAAAAATATTCACTGAATACCTAAATGGCATTTTGTTCAAAATATTTCATAAAAATACTTAAGTACCTAGACTTAAGCCTGGTTCTAACAGAAAAGTAATTTAATTTAAGATGTAATTTAATTTAACTTAAAAGTTAAAACCCCAAGAATCCTTTGTAACGTTCATACAGTGATGTAATTTAAGACTTAATTTAATAGTTGCCAACTTTTATCTTTTAAATTAAATTACGTTATTCCAAGGTTATTTCGTACTAACCTAACCTATTTTCGGAGAATCTAACCTATTTTGTGTAAACGGTTTTAATAACGCTGTGACTACAGGCACGTTAACGTGCCGCGATTTGAAATGTTAAAGGCACGTTAGTTACGTCATAAACTCAAACCATCCCAAACTCAACAACACAACCCAACCGACCCCGCCCCATTGGCCCCCCCCCCGCCCCATTGAACAAAAAACCCAACTAAAATGGGCAAATTTATGTTACGATAAAAATAAAACACTTTTTAACAAAGGAACAACATATTTATGAAATAAGAAAAGTTCGACAACTTCTAGTAGATTTTATGTTACGATAAAACTAAAACAAACCAACCAACCCAACCCAACCGAACACTGTTTAACAAAGAAACAACAAATTTATGAAATAAAAAAATAAAAAAAATTCGACAGCTACTTGGTTTCGAACCCCGGACCTCTCGCATGCCAAGCGAACGCCCTACCATATAAGCTATTTAGCTTGATGTCAAATATTAAATGGACAGGGAACAAAAACGGATTATAATTATGACGTAACTAACGTGCCTTTAATATTTCCAATCGCGGTACGTTAGCGTGCCTCTAGTCACTGTGTTTTAATAATAAGAAAAATATTTCGATTGTAATTATCAAAGTAAGCCATATATCTAATATTTAAAGTTTATATACATGTATACACTAAGCAGTAAGCACTTTCTTTAAAATATGTTTTTTAATAGAGTAATTGCATCAAAAATGAAAATCCCTAAAAACCTTTTTATTGTAATCTAGAGGTAAAAACACATTGCGAAAATATTTTTTTATATTCCAAAAGTTCAACCCGGCCCCAAAATATCAAATTGAAAAAAAGGTACTTTTCAAACGTTCCGAACTCCCGCCATATTGCATAACGTCATAAGCTTCACCAGCTGTCAGAAATCAAGATGTCAACAAATAATAAACACCGATAAAGTTTATGTTTAACATGGAAAACGCGAAACCAAAAATTGGTTGTAAATATTGTTTTGTGCCTTGTTGTACAAATACAACCTGGAAAACTCCTGGGAAAAGGTTTATCACCGTGCCAAAAGGGAAAATAAGGATAAAGTGGATTAAAATAGCTCGGCGCGATATCAAAACATCGTCACCATTTTATTGCTCATTTTAAGGATCATTTTAATGTAAGTAAAATAAAATGTCGTTTACTAGGTATATGGTTTGAATAGGTATGTTAAATATTAATAAATTCAAGAAAATACGGCTGAGCCGTAACTACTCTCAGTGTAGGGTCATAAGCTTTTGATAATTGAAGGTTCAACTTTCCCAGGAGTTTTCCAGGTTGTATTTGTACAACAAGGCACAAAACAATATTTACAACCAATTTTTAGTTTCGCGTTTTCCATGTTAAACATAAACTTTATCGGTGTTTATTATTTGTTGACATCTTGATTTCTGACAGCTGGTGAAGCTTATGACGTCATGCAATATGGCGGGAGTTCGGAACGTTTGAAAAGTACCTTTTTTTCAATTTGATATTTTGGGGCCGGGTTGAACTTTTGGAATATAAAAAAATATTTTCGCAATGTGTTTTTACCTCTAGATTACATTAAAAAGGTTTTTAGGGATTTTCATTTTTGATGCAAATACTCTATTTCAAACACTATTATAATAATAAATTATAATAATTAATAATTATTATAATTTATAAATTACGTTACTTTTTGTATGAACACAAGAAAATTAAATTAAATTACTTTTAAAGTTCAATTAAATTATATTACGTTATTTCTCTGTTGGAACCCAGCTTAAATGCATTATAAACGCTTTTAAAATTTCAAATCGATATCTTTTTTCTTTCCCCAGAAACTTTCAATGTCAAACTAAAAGACCAAGATTTGTAGTATAATTTTTGTATTATATAAAGAAGTATCGGGTTTTCGCAACGCGCGCGCCATCTGGTGGACTTGTCAACAATACATTTAAAGCATACGAACTGTACATCATTTTTAAATATATAGGTAGTTTTTTGTACTTTACTTCTTGTGACGTTTAAAACACTTGGCACGTAATACTGTGACCGTAAATTAATGGCTCTGGCAACATCAGTCGGAGACATATCCATTTTTTTAAGTAAAAAGACACCTCAAAATTTAAACATTAATTTGTAAAAAACAATTTGATAGCTTTTGAAAGCCGTGTATGACATGTCCAAGTATGGGATGATTCAACAAAACTGTCACTGTCATTCTCCATAGCCTATGGATGGACCATAGCAACCTTAGTTCTTCATACAGAAAAATATTGGAAATTGCAATGTTTTTTAAAAAAATCCATATTTTCCACAAAAATAAATATATCGAGGTGAACCAAAAACAAAACTGTTAAGAATAGATGTGACTTGATAAATAAAACTTAATTTAGAACAATATACGGTTTTGCCACAGAGTGTCTTAAACTTATGGTAAAAAACATATTTTTGTTTAAACCTGTATATTATAAACGTAGGTACGTATATTTTTAGTATTTTTTAAAATGTGAGCGATTGTCCATTAATGTATCTACAATATTCGTTTAAATCCGACATCAAATAAAAAAGTTATTTGCGATTGAAATTCATCGAAAATTTGTGTGGATCGATTATTTTGCACGTGAGTGTAGTTAACGTGCCTCGTTATTAACAAATATTTCTTTCTCTCAGTGTGGAGATAAACAATCTTACCTGGTCATGGGGTAAAGTGCGTTGCCGGGCTGCGTGGGCGCCGCCACGTTGTTGTTGTATTTGTACTGCGGGTGGTGGGGTGAGTTGTGATGCATGGCGGGTTGCTGCGCTTGGGGGTGGTAGTGCGGCTGCTGCGCCGCCACCACCGAGTGCCCCGAATGAGGGGAGGTGGGCTGGGCAGGATGCTGCTGCTGGTACTGTTGCTGGCTGCTAGGTGTCGCCATTAAGTGCAGCGTGGGACCGTTCTGTTGTATCACCTTCAATACGATTGGTGAATTAAAATTAAAATTTTATATGGCAAATAGTGTAGTTTCACTAAAATGTTGTTTTATATGTTTTGTTGGATTTTATTTGTTTTGATATATTTTATATGTTTTGTTATATTTTATATGTTTTGTTATATTTATCCGTTAAATTCTATATTTTGTGAGAGATATTATATTTATTTTCTACACTTCTATTTTGACGCAAACGGCGCCTCATAGTGAAGCTAGCAGACAACACAGACCAAAATAAAATCGTTCAAGAAACAAAAAAGTTATGTCGTTTTGAAAAAGAACGAACTTTTTGGTCGCGACCACGGTCTTATATACAGGTCATGCAACTTTAAGCTTCGAGGTGGCTTCCTTAATTTGCCAAGCCGCTAGGTGGCACTAAGATCGAAGGGTTAAGTCAATTAAATGAACTACTTAGTTAAATGTGGAACTACTGCATAACCATAACCTAACTTTTTAAATTCTTTTTCTATGTTTTGTTTACATTTTCAAAAATTTAATATTTGTGAGTTTGTTTCGGATAATTTACGTTAACAAAATAGGACAAGGCACAAAGTCCTCGGCCGTCACATGCCCAGACCAAACATGTAAGTAAAACATGTTAATGTATAAAATACATACATACGTATATCATATATATGTTACGGCTAATGTGTAAACATGGATAGTTTATAAAGTAGCTGAGTAGTTTATAAACTAGCCAAACTGTCAGCTATTTTAATTGAAAACGTATTTTTAACTAAATTAGCGGCTAGTTTGTAAACCAACCAAGGGTCTTGGCTAATTTACTTGAAGACCGTGCACAGAACATAATATATGTATGTAGTTCATTTGACCTTTTATCCCATAGACTTTAAGGACTTAGAGCCGGTTTTACAATCGTTAGATTAAGTTAGCTTATTTGGAGGATAACTTTCATAGAAACCTTCTATCTAAGAAAATTATCCACCAGAGAGCTTATCTAACGATTGTAAAACCCAAAGATAAAGAAGGTAAAAACGAACTTTAAACATCTATGGTTTATCCATAACTCGATGCGCCATCTGGTGGGTGTCTCATTAGAGAGGTCACTTTTCCTATTGAAATTGGGCGAAGTTGCAAGACCTGTATATAAGACCGTGGTCGCGACACATTGAGTGGTGCGCAGTTTAGATAAACAGAAAAAATGTTTTTCTCTACGACTACTTAAGAATAGTAACATTCTAGTGTAATTTTTGTTCATAGAAAGGAGGTTTTTCTGCATTAGGTACTGTGCGGGAATATTCCTACTCTTGTTTAAGAATGGTCACAAGTACCCAGCTAGCAAGGTTACGTCATTAGGACGACATTTTAAGGTCACCTTTCGTCGGCGACGTCACATGACCAATAAAAGACGGGTTTATGACGTCACATTTCCGACGTCATTTAGACGTTTTTATGTTGCGTCTTTCTGACGTTTTCAATAGGTGATTTTATATCACGTAATAAATATATAATAATACGTATACTATAGTAGGTATAGATCGTACTACACAATTTTTGAACACCCTGTAGATAAAATCCCAATTTTTTTGTAGATCAAAACTTATTTTTTTATCAGAAAAAATAAAAAAAAATCCCTATCATCGATGACACGCAAATCCGTCTATGAACAAATAATTATCCTACAGGACAATAACGAAATACTATTTTAAACAAAATATTTTTTAATTCTAAATTTAGTTTTACAATTTCATTGCTGTCAATACCTATATAGGTATTTATATTATTCCGAATAAAAAAACAGACAAAAATTCGTGGAACTTGTGAAGTGTCGATACATGGCGGGAAGTAAAGAACGCCGTGCTCGATACCACCAATCACAGACTGTGATTCAGTCAGCTGACTACTGTGAGATCAGCTGACTTTAGTGGCAGGCTGCGATTGCTTGATCATTTGTAACCGTTAATGTTTTGCAACAGTGCACTACCGGTATACCGCGGTGGCGTTCATTCTGTTATTCGGTTAAATTAAGTTACTTAATAACTGTTGTGCAAATCTACAATTAAGTGCAGTAACTGCGGATCAATAGGTAGGTTTTACATAATTATTAAATCATTCTTAATTTATTTACCTATACCTATACTAGGTGTTTAAAAGATGTACGCCGTACCTAGTTGAGTTTGCACACGACGGTGACGGGGGAATTTCCGCTATCAATACAAAGTGGCTAACTCCTCGCAAAAAAGAAGTTTACTGGCCACCTTATAAACAACAGTGCAAATACGACAAGGCGCTTTATCACGCATGATAGCTCGAGCTATACATAATGTTCGATTTATGGGATAGGTCTACTCTATTAAGTTTATTTATTTATTTATTTATATTTTATAATATATAACATTTATAATATATTTCCTTGTTTTATTTATTACAATAAATGACAAATCTTGTACGTCTTTAAGACGTCAGTACTTACGTCATATAGACGTCTTCAAATGACGTTATTTGTACGTCCTAATATGACGTCAACGGTCTGTGACATTTGCCCGTTTCAAAGACGTGATTTTGACGTGATGTTAAGGGTGAATATGACGTAACTTGTGACCAAAAAATGCCGTGATTATGACGTCACCAAACAGCCAGGAGATGTCGTTATAACGACATCTCCTGGCTGTTTACTAAACGTAAAAAATTTAAAAATATTTAAATATTACTGTATTATTTATTAATTAAAAAATAATAGCAGTTGTATATTTATTAAGGTTTAGGCACAAAAAATTAGTTATATTTATTGTTTTTCAAATATACAAATCAAAATATAATAAATTTGATATTAAAATGATAAACCAGTTACCTACTATACCGGCTTTGAAGTTTTGACAGATTCAAAAAGTTTAAAAAAAGACCTTTAAAATGTAGAAAAAGAATAAATGTTGACATAGATTACTTGTAAAATTAGTTTAGTATTTGTTACAATGTTATTTTTTTTATTAGTTAGGGTAAATAACTATTTTTAATTATAATAAAGATTTAGGCATACCATTTGTTTAAATTTATTATAATTTACATTATAAAATTGTGACGGCACAAAATGGTTTGACAATACAAAAAACTTAAATGTCAAAAACTGCTTGGTTTCTTTTCTCTGTTTAAAATTATATAAGCGTTACTATTCTTACGTAGTCGTAGAGAAAATAAGGTCTGAAACACGTTTGGAATACAGCATATTCCACTCTCGTAAAACCGTCACACTCGCCTTCGGCTCGTGTGTCAAATTTTTCCTCGAGCGGAATATGCTGTATTCCAAACTTGTTACAGAATGTACTATTATCGATGTACCTTTTCGGTCTTGATTTCCAAGGGACTGAGCAGGGGGGAGGGCGTCGAGGCGCAGCCCACGCTGACCAGATCGTCGACCACCTCGAGCTTGACCTGCGAGCCCACCGCCAGCATGTTCGCGTTCTCGGGGTCGATGTTCTGAATGCTGCTGGCGATGTCCTCCCAGAGGGGCGGCCGCAGGAACACGTCGTCGTCCTGCCCCCCGTTGGCCAGGTTGCGCATCGACACGTACGACATGCCGGCGGCGGCGGCGGCGTGCTGCCCGCCGCCGAGGGAGGCGGCCGAGTGGGGCGCGTGCGCCGACTCGAAGAAGTCGTCCAGCTGGAAGCCGCCATCGCGGCGCGACGACTGCTTGTCGTACTCGTCTGGACGCCGTTCCCACTCCTGCTTGCTCAAGAACGTGTCCAGGTCGCTGGTCTGGAAAAATCGCGAAGAAAGAACTGTTAAAATGAGTTTGTGGTTTGTAATTATTTTAACAAATTAATAATAATAATAATAATAATAATAATATCTTTATTAGCCAGAATGCTATACAGAAAACATATAATAGTATAAATAAATGAAAAACATAAAATAACACAGAAAATAAATAAAATCATATTAACTTTAAAATATATTATCACTATAGATCTCATATATTATCACTATAGTCTATAGTGATAATATATGAGATCTAATACAATTTTTAAAAGCTGTGATATCACTACATTGTTGTATATCCGGGGATAGCTTATTAAATTCAATCATACCCTTGTACATAGTAAAGTTTGACATTTGTACTGTTTTACATCTATCAAGTTGGAAATGGTTTATATTACGAGTATTATAATTGTGGACATTACGCACATATTTAATATTATCGGACAAGTAATCAGGTACTAAATTGTTCTTAACCTTAAAAATAAATAACATAACATCAACATATATTTTTTGTTTCACAGACAAAATATTCAAGACATTTATCATGGTTTGTATAGGCGTATATCGATTCACATTTAAAATTACTCTCATAGCTCTATTCTATTTGTATTTCATTAACTATATACCTGGGTAAATTATATAAAAGGGATGAACAAAATGAAATATGTGGTAGTGCTATACTTTTATAAAGTAATAGTTTAGTGTATAAGGACAGATTTTTACCTATTCTAGTTATAAAAAATACTTTTTTGCTTAACTTGTTCATTACATAGCTTGCATGTTTGTGAAAATTTAATTGTTCATCAAGGATCACTCCGAGATATTTAATTTCTTTTACACATTCTAATTTGACATTATTAACACATATATTTAAAAAATTAAAATCAACATTTACAGTCTTATATCTACTCCCAAATACACAGAATTTAGTTTTTGACACATTTAAACATAAACTATTGCTATTTAGCCACTCACATAGCAATTTTAAATCATTGTTTATTAGTTCACTCATTACATTTAAATTGTTACCTTCTATGTATAGCATAGTATCATCTGCGAACATTTTTATTTTGCTGGATTTAACTATTTTTGCCATGTCGTTTATATACAATATAAATAAAATTGGCCCAAGGACAGTTCCTTGCGGTACTCCATATTTTACAGGTTTACAACTTGAATACATACTTCCATATTTAACTTTTTGTTTTTTATTAAGAAGTAGGATTTCAACCATTCCAGTACCTTTCCATTTAGTCCCATGGGACTGCATTTTTTTCAATTTTAGTAATAGCAAATTTTTATCTATTGTCTCAAAAGCTCTTTTGAAGTCTAAAAATACTGCCAACACAAAGTTTCCACAATCTATCGCTTTTAAAAATTCATTACAAATATGTATACATATTTGTATACAACCACAATAGTTATTTTCCTAAAAAGGGCGCAAAAATTACTTTGCGCACACTGAAAAAAATTTTCTTATGTTTAGAACACCTATTATCTTGAAAATATTTTTTTAATTCGAGTCAACTTGCTTTAAAATAAGAATATATATTTCAACTAAAAATATTTAACTTGTTTAAAAAAGAATTTTGTACTTTTGGAAATATTCTAATATTAACCAACATTTCTTGTTTTAAAAAGTTGCAAGTTTCAATCCAAATATTAAATATTCTTGAAGGAAATCTTAGTTGGTTAAGAAATTTTAGTTGGTTAAGAAATTTCTTGGTACAATTGTTAATATTTTTTTATATCAAAAAAAATATATTCTTATTTTTTTTATTTGTTTAATTTTTTTATATTAAGAATTAGATATTCTTAAATTTTTTTATTTCTTTTATTATAATTTCTTGGTACAATTGTTAATATTTTTTTATATCAAAAAAAATATATTCTTATTTTTTTTATTTGTTTAATTTTTTTATATTAAGAATTAGATATTCTTAAATTTTTTTATTTATTTTAATAACAGTATTTTCTTTTGCCAAGAAAACATATTTTTGAAATCATGTAGGAGTGGAGATGCCGACACGTTCCTTTGATTATGCCTAATCATGCAGTGTTTTTTTCTCTTTGTCAGGGAGAGGGCGTATTTCATTAAAAAAATTATTAGAAGAGTGGTCAGCATCGAAGGAAATTATAAAAAAAAATTGAAGGTAAGTAAGTTGTTATTGATATACCCCCCTTTTTTAAATTTAGCGTCGCATTTACGTGTAGGTAGGTGGGTTAATTGTTTAAATATTTACTAATATGCATTAAGGATGCCTTAAAATTATTTTATTCATAAATAAATAGGCTTTGCAGTGATAACCAAAATTTCTTATGTGTTTAACACTATGATTTGTATGGCTCTATAATTTTAAGTTAATAAACTTAATTTATTTTATGACATTTAAAAAGATTTTGGTTTAGAAGTAATTTTGTTACACACTTTGGGGTATAGCATTAATTTTGATTCATATAGTGTGGAGTTCATTGGCAATAGCCCTAATTTATTTTATAAAATTGGTAATTGCTTTTCTACTATGCCTAAAATATTACAAACTATTTAAAATGAAAAATATATATGTCGATAATAATGATTAAGTTCCCTACGTTACTTTATAATAATGTATACATTTTAGATTTTTCTTGTATTAACCTTTAACCCTTAACCCTAACCAAATTAAATGTGTTTGTTCAACGTTTGTTCTTTTATTTTCTAACCTAATTTTTTTTGCTTACTGCACCACCTAGAAAAGATACAACGTATACTTTGGCCCTTCAGTAGGTTTGGCTCAATTTTGAATAATCCGTAAGTACCTGTTTAAATATAAAGTTTTGTTTAAGATTAGACAACAATCCTTAAAAAATTACTGGAAATTTAAAATTACTCCAGTCCCCTCAAGTGTTTAGACGTATTTTTATTTTAAATTTTATTTCTTTTGCAGTAATATTCCTAAAAATAAAGATGTTGAGTTTAAATACAAAATGATAGATTTTTTGAAACATTGCTAAAAGTAGCTTAAAATTAAGATAGATACATTTTATTTTTAACGATACTTCTTGCATTGTTTTAAAATAAATATTATGTTGTAATCAATGAAGTAAACTTTTAAATCTTGTATCTTTTAATTAAAAAAATATTGGGTTATATAAAACTTCTTGATTTAAGAAAATTATTGCCTTATTTCTATACTTATCAGATGTTTTTGTTTTAAGAAAATTTATTCTTGAATTAAGTAAGTATCTTTTTTATTCAAGAATACCACTAAGTTATTTTTAAAAGAACATTCTTGCTTTAAAAGTACCAATTATTTGGTTAAAAAAAATACATTTTCTTGAATTAAGTAAATTTTGCTGCCTTATTTTAAAAATTATATATTCTTGCTTTTAATCAATTAAAGTTTTATTTAAGGAAATTTAATTTTCTTACATTAAGAAAAATTCTTGAAGTAAATCAACGTAAATTAAGAAAATACTTTACTATTTTAAAGAATATTTTCTCTTCGTTATATACCTATAAGACAAAGATTGTTTTGAATCAAATAAATTTATTTGATACAAGAATATTTCTTTTTCAGTGCATGTGTTAGAAATAATATTTTTCAACTGTCTTGCACAGTTAGATAACAATTAATTTTTATTAAAGGAACAATTATTAATATTTTCGAAATTAATTGCAGAACAGCTTAATTCATTTAACGGGTAAAAGGTAAATTTCATCTGGTGCTTCTTTGATGAATCTTGAAATGTCATCTTTCTCAAAAATTTTGGACTTTTTCGGAATTCCACATTTTCCTTTTTTGAAAGTTACAACAATGGTTGAATTATTGTTGAATTATTGACATGGTTGTAAACTTTACATAAAATCTGGTTAAAATTAACAAATATTTTTTACTGTGTATACATATAAAAATATACTTAAATTCATTAACATTAAAAGCACATGACTAACATATTAAAAATAACAATAATTAATCACCAAAACACATCAATATGTCACCAACAAATGTACAAAATTCTTAAACTCAAATTTGCATCCAACCCATTTATAACAATAAAAATTCCCGCCTCGTGGTGTAACCTGCCACAGAAAGGAAAAGAAAATTAATGGTTTTATCGAAACAGAGGGCAAAGAACAATAATTTGTCCGTGTTGTGAACAATCAGAGGTGACGAAGCACCGACTGACAAAACGCAGCAAGCGGTGACGAAATGATTACACGCGGCGCGACATCAACACGAAAAACCATGTCGGATGTTTCAGTTTTCAAATTTTTTTTCACCCAACGCTACATGACAATAAAGTCAACATTAACATAACTAATATTTTAATATCTTTAATTTATTGATTCCGTTGAGAAAAACAGTATTTTACTTTGTACCATGCTCCACACCTCAAAGTCCCACCACGTGACCACGTACGGAACGCAGTCTTTTAAAAATTTGGCATTTAAGGCTTTTCAGGTTATGTATCTGTCAAAGTATAGTCAATGAAAGAAATAATATTTATAGGGTTACCGCTTATGTTTAAGCGTTAAAAGTTAATAAATCTTTATAGTATCACAATAACAATGGTTGGTTTAAGAATTTAGGAATATAAATACTGCATTTAATGAAATTCTAAAGAGTAAGGTGCATAAGTGATATTTTTGTGCATTGGGTCCACATTTTTCCATAAAATATTTTTAACTAAACAGCATTTATTAAAAAAAATCTAACTTCTCTATTATGAAATAAGAATATCTGTATCAAAGGTAGGTTAATGTATTAGAACAAAAAATATCATCTAATTTTGTATTTTAAGGTTAGAAAAATCTATTTTGACCAAAATAAATAAGTGGATTATTTGGAAGAGTGTGTTAATATGGTCATAAATAAATATAGGTATAGTATACCTGGTATACTAAATAATTGTTGAATATGGTTTAAATTAAATTAAAGCTTTTATTCTTCTAACGACAAAACTTGTGCATACCTCTCGGCATACCTACTTTAAGTTAGATTATAAGGAAACAATTTTTAAAGAAACTTGCAATGTGAAAATATTTAATACTCCCATGACATGTGATTTATTAAAAATTTTAAAGTTATAATGATTTTTCCATGTAGATCAAATTCAGTCGAAGCTTTTTAACTATTTGTATTGACAAAACTTTATGTAGGTACCCTTTAAGCTGTATAAGAAGAACTACCACATTTTTAAATACCATATTATACAGTCTTTTAAATAATCCAAAATACTTATTTATTTTGGTCAAAATACATTTTTCTAACCTTAAAATTACAAAATTAGATGATATTTTTGTTATAATATATTAACCTACCTTTAATACAGATATTCTTATTCCATAATAGAGAAGCTAGATTTTTTTTTTAATAAATGCTGTTTAGTTAAAATTATTTTATGGAGAAAACCAGATATTTGGACAAAATGCACAAAAATATTACTTATTTGGCACCATACACTTGAGAATTTCATTAAATGCAGTATTTATATTCTTAAATTCTTAAACCATCCATTGTTATTGTAATGTTATAAAGATTTATACATTTTTAACGCCTAAACATAATATTATTTCTTTCGTTGACTATACTTTGACAGATACATAACCTGAAAAGCCTTAAATGCCAATTTTCAAAAGACTGCGTTCCGTACGTGGTCACGTGGTGGGACTTTGAGGTTTGGAGCATAGTACGTGATCGAATTTTATTAGGAAAACGCTGAGCGTAGATATTAACAGCATCATCAAGATTCCTGTTAAAAAATCCAATACGAATAACTGCTTAACGAAAGGAGGTCTTTTTGTTTGCAAATTAATCTTCGAATTAAATTGATTAATGTAGTAATGTTTTTTTTACCTTAAATGAGGTATTTTTATTAAAAATAGAACAATAATCCTTTAAATTAAAAGATTTAATGCCGGCAGGTAAAATAGACCATGGTGATATTTATCACCAAATGAAATATTGTATATTGAAATCGGCCTAACAACGTGAATAATGGGTTCATTATTCCCGTTGTTAGGCAGGGAATTCATAATGTTTATAATTATTCACGAAAAACAAAAAGTATTATGCAATAGGAGTAGATAAAATTACATTATTTAACTTGTATACACTTTGTTTATGTAGGTACTTATAATCCCATAGAATTTATGCAATAATAATGTTATGAAACAACTATATTCCGGTCATAAATTTTACTCGAGCCATATTAAATAGGTAAATAAAGGTGTAAATAAATACATTATTTACGATAAATTATATGTTTCTATGAAAATTCAAACTTACTCTATATTTTAGACTGTTTAATATAATATAAAGCCACTTATTTTGTATGCAATATTTGTAATTTTGTTTGGCATTTCTTAATAATGGTAATAAATTCTATTTATTTTTTTAGTCGATATTATAGTCGTTCTTTATGTTTTTAATAGGGTTTTGGATCAATTAGATTACAAATTCCTAAATACACTAAACACACTATAAAATTAACCTGCAGTATGATATTATCATTATCTACTTAAAAATGTTAAAAAAAGTTGTCTAAAAGGATTCCTAAACAACTAAAGAAGTTATAAAATAAAATATAGATGCAGAAACGCATTGATAAATATAGTTATTATTATTTGTACAAAAAACAGTTCTATACCGTTTACAAAAACGTTTTGTAGTATTAATGAATCCCTAATGGTATTATTCATAGAAATTTTGTAAACTTTACAAATCCCTTTTCGTTTAAAATAAAACTTTTTTTATAATACTAATAAAATTTAGGTAATTTTAACAACAAATTAATTGTTAATAATTATTATTCAATAAACTATTTTCATTGTAACAATGGTCACATTTTTAACCTACTGTTGGGTATTGGGTACTTATTTTTTTTAATAATTGCAAGATATTAAAACAAATTATTTATTATAACAAAAAACTAACTCATATTATATTATGATGTACAAAATAAAAAAAAATATGAATTCACTTTTTAAACAACAAGTCTGTTTCGTTTATAGAATAGCCCTTAAATATTTCTTTTAGAAAACGTCAAAATTTTAATTTTTACCACACTTCACTCATACAAGTGAAATCAATAAGATTATAATAACACAGACTGTGGATTATAAAGTTATGTTCACCAAGGAGAGCGCTGGCCCTTTCCCCCTCTTTTTAAGGAAAATAACATTTTGTTACCGTTGCAAAACAATAGTAAATATTAAAAAAGTCTTTTTGTAGCAATCAAATATTTTTGTTATTGTTCTTAACGGAAGTTATTAACAAAGAATTTCCAACTGAAATAAAATTAATTTGAATTATAACGATAGTAATTTAAAAAAATACAAATATGCCATAGCAAAATGAACAAATTTTACTATAACAACTGCGCATTACTTTATGTAAGCTCAATTTATAGATTTAACAAAAACATTTTAAGATCGACAAAGATTTAATATAAAAATAAAGTATTTCTTATTGCCATGACAATATGATAACAACTATTAGTTTGTTTGGATGAACTTTTTTTTATAAAAGCTCAACATGCTGCTTCATTATAGTAAATGAGAATTTTATTAACAGTAAAAAAAGTTTTCATTCAAATCTTTGGATGAAATTTAAATTTCTGTTGGCATAATGTTATGTGAGGAAGGGACCTTAGCTCCAGCAAACTGCCATCTGTCATACCAAAGTGTCATAAATGACATGTTCTGGTATTGTTTGGTATATAACGGTTAGTTTTGTGGTTGTTTTACAAGTAAATGCTTTGCAAAATACAGATATCTTGCCTCCCTACACTGAAAAAGAAATTAGTGCAAAAAGAAAAGTCAGAGGTCTGGTAAATTTTGAAACAACTAGAGATGTAATAACGGAAGTTTATGCGCAAGTAGGTAATGCAAATCAAAAAAATAGAAAAATTCGCAATTTTAAATACTTCAGCCATCCCCTGAAAGCATCATAGATTTCATTGACATTCCTGGCGTGGAACCTCTATTCAACTTGGGATTTCAAAAGTGTTGCAAGAACAGCGAGGTTTTCAATTGGAATTTAACGTGCGTGGAAATTGAAGAGAAAAAATACGAATACGGCTGGTTTCCCAAACAATACGTAAGGGATCAAAATATTCAGCAAGCTTTGTACGATTTGTCCTCGGTTTACATTGATAGTAACGAAAAACCGAAATGCCAAAGAGGAGAAACGATCCGTGAGTTAAAAAGAGTAAGTTTTCCAAAATAAAAATTCAAATTTTTATTCAAGAAGTTGCATGGAGGGCCCGGAATGATTATGGTAACAAATATTACATCAGATATAAAGATGGAAATTTGATTGAATTTGATGGGGAACATGTTTTAGCCAGCTACAATAAAACGTCATTTTGTTTGGACGCAGTCAGTGATAAAGAAAGGTGACTTGTCTTTAATATTTCTTAATAAAAAAACATGAATGTGTAGTTATATCAGGGAAGGGTTAAATTTGTGATAATTTTTATTAGCCATCCAACAAACTTCTTCTTTTTCTTTCTATAACTCTTTAGGGAGCAGAGGACACCTGTTAAGACAAAATGACGGTAGAGTCAAAAGGTATTCAGTAATTTAATATATTGCATTAATTACATCACACCCTGTATAATTATAATTTTGCTAAGTACTCTTCATAAAGCATCTTTAATACGTCCTTGGCATATGAACCATAGTTATTGGACATACAATTTTTATATAAACATAACAACTTCATCAAATAACATAATTAGTGAAATATTTTTTAAAGATAAATTGCTGTTTTGGGTAATTTTTTTTATTTCGTTATTCTAAATATCATATAATTCATATATTTCTTTCTCGGATTCCTCATCCCTTTTCAGAATTCTGAAGGTAACTACTAATTCCTTGGTCCGACTTCTGAAATAGTTTGTTGCAAATATCATTAAGTGTGGTATCTCTAGTTTGTGAAGCATTTATAATGTTTAGGCCAGAACAGGATGATTTATATATATCTAATATTTTTTCGGGTGGTATGTTAAAAGTGTTTTCCGAATTTATTAATTTTGTTGCCATTAGTTTTTTATGTTCTCCATCATGCACTGTATTTAAATCACTGTTATTCTGCAAGATGTCCTGTGACGAAGAAATCACTATATTACTTGCTCTCTAAAAATGAAAGAGTCAAAAATGTCAAAGCGAAAAAGCGGCCACTAATAATTCTCGTCAACAGCAATTTGTATCCAGGACATTTAGCAGTCAATTCCTATGAAATATTATTCGCTGAATACAAAAATGTCGTCAAAAGTTATAAAAGTAGAACAGTTTTTGAAATATAATCAATTTTACATATAATATGGAATTGACTATATCTGAAAAACTGCTTAACTTTTATAGTTTTTGACGGTCTTTTCGGATTCAGGGGAGAATTTTACATAAGAATTGGCTGGTAAATGTCCGGGATACAAATAGAGTATGATATTGGACATATGTCCATAATAGAAATTTACATTTTTTACCAACCAGTAATTGGACACTGGCCATTTTACTGTGTTTTCAGAATTAAAATTAAAAGGCATTAATGTGACAATGTTTAAACCATCAGGAACACATTTATACCACACACTGATCTGTACACTGTTTAAAAATATTTTTATTGTAATTTAAACACAGCCCTGCTCTTAACAAAAAAACAACAATCTTACCACCAAAGTAACGTGCGAACTTTTTTGTCCTATATTGGACTCAAAATAAAGTAGTTATATATTATTACCGACTGAGATAGTTATAATTGTATACAGAGCCATCTAATGATTTACCTTTGAGGAAACTATTTATAGAATTCTTGTTTTTACAGTATTATAAACATAATGCTGGATGCAACGTGGTCTAACTTCGCCTGTAAGGAACACAACGAAATAATATTGCCCAAATGTCACGAAAAAACTCTCACATCAAAAATTAACAAATCTTTACATTTTCAGTTATTTTATGGCCCTTATTTGTCCATGCAAAGAAGCAGTTTGTTTAAAGAAATGTTGCCCCCCTGGGCAGTCATATGACGTGAAGAAAAGACGCTGCATTCACTCGAACATATTAAATGGCATTATAAAATTATTTCAACCAACTTTTTATCTACCAGAAAATAGAACAGTGCGACCTGCTTATCACATTGTGAGCGTGGAAGAGAATGTTCTACCTCAATGCAAGACTCCTTTGAATATAGAGCTCAAAGGACTTTTCCAGGCGAACGGAAAAGCGCAGATAAATGAGAAAGGAGACGTAGTCCTTGATAAGGACGATGCTTTGTATCGTTTAACAGCGAATCAAAGGTATCAAAGTCTGTATATTTCATATCCTTATTAAAAGTTTGGTTTTAGTTACTGCGTGGAAGAGTTTTACTATGGAAAATCTAAATATCTAATCAACGCGTTTTTCTGCAGGGATCAGTCTCTAAAATATTACCAAAAAAATTTCTCAGATGTTTTTGAGACCGATTTAACAGCAAGCTATGGTTATCCAAGCTACAAAGTTAATTATTTTACTATTTATTTTGGTTTACTGCTAATTTATAGCAGGCAATAAATATATGTATCGTGATTTTTTTGTTATTTTTTTAGTTATTAGTGTTTGAAATATAATATACAGGGTGTCCAAAGTTATCTGAGAGCATAAAAAACCCTGTTAATGTTCAAGAAAATGTATTTTCTTTAACCAAATAATTGGTTGTTTTAAAACAAGAATATGTTCTTTTAAAAATAAATTAGTGGTATTCTTAAATAAAAAAGATACTTAATTCAAGAATAAATTTTCTTAAAACAAAAACATGTGATATTGAAATAAGGCTATTGCCTATTTTCTTAAATCAAGATGTTTTCTATAACCCAATATATTTTTTAAATAATAAATTTGATTATAATTCTCCCTCATAAAGAGAAAGAAACACTGCAGAAGTACCATTTTTTAAATAGGTACCTACTACGATTATTTTTTTAGTTTATGTCCAAAAATGACAGATGTTAAAAATGTCAGATGATAGATGACAGCTGTCAGAAATGACGCTATAATAGTAACCTTTACGATTTCATTCTCTTCTGATACTTTTTTAATATTGCAGTAGTTGCTCCGTTTAAAAGCGCCTTATAGTTTCGCTTCAATTTTTCAGAATTACACCTCGTTATTTTTTAAAACACCATCTTATAAAGTTATAAAAAAAACTTGAGTGACACAATGTAGGTAATCAAGTATAGTGGCAATACAAATAAAACTAAAAAACAATATTGTCTAGTATCAAGGTTTTCTGTGAGGTATTTAGTGGCAAAATCCATTTACAGCACTTAATCAGATTAAATAAAGTACAAAAAAGCAGCGGGTCGTTGTTTATTGCTGAAATAATCGAACATTATCGTTCGGTTTATACTTGAAAAAGAAAATCTTCAACCTTCATTTAAATCAATAAGCGGTGGTTATCTGTACTAAAGATCGCGGGCAAGCTTTATATCCTACATTTTAAATGTAATATTTTTTTATTTGGTTAAGCTTGAAATAATAATTTAGTTATTATGCACTGATAATTAAACTAATTTTGTAAGCTATTAATAAAATAATACAAAAACCTACGATTTGTCAAAGTAATGAGATTATTTTTATTTACAGAATAAACTTTTTTTACTGTTAATAAAATTCTCATTTACTATAATGAAGCAGCAATGTTGAGCTTTTATAAAAAATATGTTCATCCAACAAAGTAATAGTTGTTATCATATTGTCATGGCAATAAGAAATACTTATGTTTATATTAAATCTTTGTCGAACTTAAAATGTTTTTGTTAAATCTATAGTTGTGTGTGAATTGTTTATTTTACTATGGCATATTTGTCTTTTTTAAATTACTATCGTTGTAATTCAAATTAATTTTATTTCAGTTAGAAAATCTTTGTCAATAGCTTACGTTAAGAACAATAACAGAAATATTGTATTGCTATAAAAATTTTTTTTTAATATTTACTATTGTTTTGCAATGGTAACAAAATTTTTGTTATTTCCCTTAAAAAGAGGGGGAAAGGGCCAGCGCTCTCCTTGGTGAACATTACTTTACATACCACAGTCTGTGTTATAATATTATTGATTTCACTTGTGCGAGTAAAGTGTGTTTAAATTTAGCATGATCAAAATATCAAAAAGATCACTAAGAAAATTCATTAATACTACAAAACGTTTTTGTAAACAGTACAGAACTGTTTTTTTGGACAAATAATAATAACTATATTTATCAATGCGTTTCTGCATCTGGAAGAGTGTTATTTTTATAAACATAACGTAAATTTACTTTATAATTAATGCAAATGCTATAACAAAAGCAGCGTTTGTAGATAAATAATTTTTATAAAAATGATCTTTTTGCCGTAACAAAAGCAATTGTTGGACGAATAGGGATCTTTACTTTATTAAGACAAACTACTTTTTTGTTATATTTATAAAAAAAAATTCTGAGTGTACCCAATAAATCTTCTCAATAAAATAAAATTATTTTTCACCTGTCAACATTTAATCCAATCGATTTCTCCTTAACGTGTTGAGAACGGTTATAGTGTTCAGGCTGATCTGTGGTTTGAGCTTATTTGGGTCAAGAACTAATAGGGCCCATAAAAATTAATAGCAGTCCAGCGCGCAATTTTTTCCCCGATTCTCAATCAATATACTGTTAGTTAATAAATAAATAAGCGAAAGAAATTAAATAAATTGCATTGCACACGTGTATGGGTCGGTAATGATAGCGGAGTCGAGTTTTATTGCCAGTTTTTGAACTACCCATATTTTTATAATGTTTCACCGGATAAATGTTGTGGGCTATAAAACAGATGTTACTTGGTAATTGTACCTAAATGGTGGCTGTTGAGTTTCATTAGGTATAATGAATACCAACAATTATTTTTATTTTCACTACACTGAAAAAAAAGATTTCTTATATTTAGAATACCTATCATCTTGAAAATATTTTTTTAATTTAAGTCAAGTTGCTTTAAAATAAGAATTTATATTTCAACTAAAAATATTTAACTTCTTTAAAAAAGAATTTTGTAGTTTTGGAAATATTTTGATATTAAGAAACATTTCTTGTTTTAAAAAGTTGCATGTTTCAATCCAAATATTCAATATTCTTGAAGGAAATTTTAGTTTCTTGGTGCAATTGTTAATATTTTTTTTATATCAAGAATACGATATTCTTTTATATTAAGAATTAGATATTCTTAAATTTTTTTATTCGTTTTTATATTAAATCACACATTACAAATTTTTGACATTTTAAAAAATAAGGGTTAAATAAAAAAAAATAAAAATTATGTGCTTTTTGTGAAAAATCCAGTAGTTAATTTTCCTGTCTTTGAAAATAGCATCCATTTGGTTTGAAAAAGATAAGCAATAATCACGAAACTTTTTCTTCTTTCAATTTGCAAGTTACTGATCATTAATAGTCCTGGACAATATATACATTGTAATTATTATTAAGCCACTACAAGTATTAACCAGTGGCTTTAACAAAATACCTATTCACCATTGTAGTCCAATGATTGGACTACATTCACATGTGTTCACATAAAATTTAAATTTCTTTTATATAAATTTTTTTCAAAGCGAAGATTATTATCCGCTAGGAATACTGTCTCTCCTGGGCCTTAGTCACCTATATTTAACTACTTTTTTATATGATTTTACCCATCTACACACCACCAAAGCCAAATAAAAAATTAAGAAACAAAGAACCCTTACAGATAAGAAGTTATTTATTTTAGCTATATCTTATCCTATCCTATATGTCATCTGCATATACAATGGGGTAGTTCAATTTTTTCTGACCTATACTTTTTATGGTTTTATTCAAGGCGTTTTGTAATTTTAAAAATTTCTGTGAAATCGGAATTTCAATTGAGTTTACCGTTTTCGAGATATTTACAAAAAAAATCTCCTAATTACGTCACTAGGCTATTGACAACGTTGCCAGCTTTTTCTATGGTTGCCAGTGTGTTTAGTTTAAGATTCTTACGATAGATGGCGCCACGTTATAATATTTTAGTTTTAAAACCACTTCATCTATAATTTTAGTTAAGAAGAAGAAGACGTTTCTTTTTTTCGGGTTATGTTTTTTTTTAAATTTAGATTATTGAAAATCAATGTTATTGTTATGTTATTTGTAATTGATATTAGATAAGTGATTTATTAATAACGGACTCCAAAGCGGAATCTTGTGGAATGGTTGGTTACATTGAACATTGGAGCTTTTAAACAAATAAAGTAAGTACCTATAATTATAATCATATTTTGTCGTAAATGCATTTCATTAGTATAATGCCTAGTTCTTTATATTCTTTTAGATATATCTTGGACTTTAAAATATCAAACAGTAATATGATACCTCGTAATAAGGAAGATAGGTACTTAATAAATTTGGTGACCATCTTTCACTCAACTGACAGTGACAGTATTTGTACATAACCTCTTCGGGTATTTTCTGACATAACCGAATGAAATCATTAACAAGACAACTTGACAACAGGGTAATTTTCAACCAATAGAAATCTTAGAATGTTGTTCACATGACGAGGTTTGTGACGTCATAAAAAATTATATTTTTTGTAAATATCTCGAAAACGGTAAACTCAATTGAAATTCTGATTTCACAGAAATGTTTAATATTACAAAACGCCTTGAATAAGACCATAAAAAGTATAGGTCGGAAAAAATTTAACTACCCCATTGCACTGTTTGACATAACTTGAAATGTCCTACCCATTATGTAGATCTATTAAATAAAGTTTTTTAAATGTTCTATTGGACCATTTTGCTTTATTTAAATCAAAAATGATCCTCAAAAGTTTCCAAGGCAAAACGTTAAGCTTTCAAAATTAATTAACGATGTCCACCAATATTAATAAAACGTCAAATGTCCATCCATTCAAACATAAAAACAAAACTAAGTGGACGAGGCATATTTATGCGTTCGGCAGGCCGAAATGAATAAAAAAACTGGCAGTTAACTGTTAAGTAATGAAAATAGATGATGTGGATTATTTAAGGAAGAGAAGTAATGCCATGCCGTAACCGATGTAGAGCTGGCGAGTTAACGTGCAATAAATTATACCTGACGTTAATGGTTAATAAATAATTAGAATTAGTTCCATTTCCATGTGAGGTTATAAAACTGCCCGCGATCTTTAATATAGATTAACGGCTTATTGATATTAAATGAAGGTTTTGTATTTCCAATTTTAACTACCTATGGTGGTTTAATTATTTGGTTTTTATTATGGTATACCAACTTTGTTCGAATATTATTGTAAA